GCTGGAACCGGAAGTGGGGTGGAGGGATTGGGAAAGTCACTTTTTTGTTAAGCTTTAAATTTGACGCATGCATTTTTTTAGTTTAATCAATCTAGAAGTCACTGTTATTGAATCATATTACACAAAAAACTTTTAAAATCTGTTATACATTTTGTTCGCATATCTATAGCATATTTTTATAGTGGTAAATGTTTGCTAGTAAACAGACACACACATGTACGCCATTGTACGCACTCAATTCTACACACACACACACACACACACACACACACACACACACACACACATACTTCCTCAAACGAACAAATATAGGCCTACACATAAACATACATTCTGTTACACACAAAAAATCCAGTGCACACATATTCATACACAAACATCTATACTCCCACTCATACTCAAACGCATTTCCGAAACTTTCGGGGGGGGGGGGGGGGGGAGAGCATACATTTTCGAGGGGTGGGGGACAGCAGATATTGGTTGAATTTTGTATTTTGTATATTCATTTTATTGGAGGGGGGGGGGGGGAATGGAAGCCGGTAGACGTGTTTAGGGGAGTGAAGGGGTAGGGGTTCCTCCCCCCCCCCCCCCCCAGAATCGAAACCTGAAAGACACGCTGCAACACTCGCATGTACACACAATCCCTCTCTTTCACACACACACACACACACACACACACACATATATATATACTTAAAGGCGTACACACCAACCCACACGCATACATACAAAAAAATGTGTTCAGCCATACAACTATCCATCTCCTTAAACGAGAGTTTATGTGACTTTTGTTTCTATATATACTTTCAAAGTGTGGACACATCACACCAGCATGTTTTAAGATGTAAAATCAAACAACCTCCTCATCCCGCCTGCTGTCTAATCTAAGACGTCCATAAGTATCTAATGAGAGGGCGGGTACTGTTTGGTTTGGGGTAGAATCGTGAGCAAACAAAGCCGTTAGAGTCACATCGAGGCTACGTCCTGTCAAGTGTGTTGGCACGCCGTGAAGATGGCAGACTCCAAGAGTTGACACGAGGTGTATTTTGGTACCTGTCGGTGGGGGGGGGGGGGGGTGGAGGGGGGGAGGGGTGGAACTGCTTTTGTTTTTGGAACTAGCAGAATGGGTGGGGGTGGGGAGGGGCAATAGAGTGGGAGGGGAGGGTGGGACAGAAACCCAAAATACTTATTTAAAGACAATGTGTTTGTTTTTACTTTCTCGTATATACGTAGTATAGAGAAAGTATTGTAATCGTGCAAAAAAAAAAAATCGAGATTTTTACAAATCTCGACGTTTTACACCTCACTGATACGGAAAAACATAATTTTGCAATCTTGTCCGTATGTCTGTGTGTGTGTGTGTCTGTGTGTGTGTCTGTCCGTGTGTAAACACGATAACTTGAGTACCGTTACAGCTAGGTTGATGAAATTTCATATATAAGTATTTTATCAAAATCGTAGATCCGTATCAACTTTTGAGCGATTTCCGATAACCGGAAGTGGTACTTTTCCTACTTTGAATTTTTTAAAAGCCTATAACTTGAGTACTATTTCAGATAGATAAATGAAATTTCACATGTAAGTAAAAGATCTAATTCTCTACCTTCTGTTAAATTTTGAGTAATTTCCGTTGACTGGAAGTAGTAATTTACGCTACTTCCGATTTCTCAAAAAACTAATGTAAATTTTAAAAGTACTAATAATATTGCGCACTATTATGCGCTTTTTTTTATTTGCGTTCACTTGGTGTGCAATTAATTTGTCTACGAGATTTTATTCTATTTTTAAAACTTTAAGTATTTAAAATGGATTAAAAATCATGTCTATAGCCCGAGTTTCCATCCCCTGTTATTTTATATAAGAATATTCGAGAAAGTTTAGGGGAGATCACTCCCGGTTTATTTAAGTTAGCATCGTTTCGCTGTATTAAAAACCTAAGCGACATCTTAAATCGTACAGGGAAGGCTGTTACGTCAGTCATATCAAACTATCCGGATAATTGGATATTTTAATTAAAAACTAAAGTACTCAGATAAACTACACAACTCTACAGGGCACACGTTCTAAGTTTTTGTTAAGTAGGCCTACAGTTGAAGTTGTGATCAAATGCTTTAAAAAAAAAACAATATTAAACTACATCCCTCGTATTACGTTCTAAGTTGTTGTTAAGAGGATTTGCAAATGTAATTAAATGAATTTTTTTTTAATTTAATATTAAACTACATCCCTCGTGTTACATTCTATAATTCAACATCGGCGTGGTCGAGTCGGTTAAGGCCATGCCTGTTAAACCGAAAAGTATCGAGTTTCAACCCCCGGGCAGAGGAGGCTCTATAAAGTGTAATAGGTACAGTTCTTCTAGGAGACACAACTCTAAAATCAAATAGCTTCTACCGTGTAGTTTGTTCTTGGTTGGAGAAAGGCTATGGAAGCAAATCCAAAAAGAAAAGCAGGGTGAAATCTGAGTCAACGGCCAATATGGCGCATAACAAGTTGATACGTATACTTAATTGTGTTGGAGGGGATCCTTCCAACATAGCACAAGAATTAACTCCAGGATACACCTTAACCTCTTGTAGCTTTTGTTTGTACACTCACCAAACTCCTAACATTCTTAACCCTTCGAACCACTAATCATACCCACGGTTAGTTCCAGAGCTAGGACTAATGCTTGGGCAGGGGGGGGGGGGGGGGTTATTCATCTGGGTTCGGCCGAACCTCAGGGGCTCCTTAAGACAGTCTCAGGGGTTCGTCAGAGGTCAAGACATATATTCAACAGATTATTCATCAGATTATTATCGGATTTTGTCAACGAAGACGATAAAACTATTAAGAAGGTTTCGATGAAAGTGCATATGAAACCGATGTTAAGAAACAATGGTTAAGGGCTAGTTTAAGCCCAGGTTTATTGTGGGTTACGGTAATTGTAAGGATTAGGGTAAGGATTAATTTGTGCTAGAGCTATGGCAAGAGCTAGGGTTACCTATGTTGGGAGGCCAATGATACTCCAGTTATTTAGTGATTTCAGCTAGTTGTGTATAGTACAATACTCTCTAAACTCGTACGCGCCCGTGTTTTTTGTTAAGTTTAAACAAACAGCCCAATTCAGCCCACATGTCACCCCCCCCCCACACCCCACAGGTCACCCTGCCAAGACACTCAGCTGAACCCTCCGTACGAGACTGTCAACACCGGCGCCCCTTTCGTCCATCTCTCCACCTGACCCTCCCGTCTTGTCCGGCAAATCCTCACGCACCGGCAGCCGGTTTTAGCCGGTGCACGGCCTGCACTGGATCATCACGGACCCTCCCGCGTCAGGTGCCAAGAGAAACCGATGCCAGGATTTGCCGGCTAATCCGTTATGTCAACGGATCGGTTTAAAATTGCACAACAGTGGCGGGTGCTGGGATAACCACAGACCCAGTCCACCGCTTACTTTAATCGTACGAATCTATTTATAGGGCGGCTGGCTTTTTTGCTGGTGTTCTTTGGGCGGTTTGAGTTTTTTGGTGAAGTTATTTGGGGTAACAGTAACAGCGAGCTATAGAGTGCGGTGTCGCCACAACACAGAAAATAAAGAGCAAAAAATAATTTTGTTTTTGTGATGGGCAGGACAGGATAAGACTTCAGCTGCTGTTGTTTAGGACAATGTTTAAATTTGTTCTTTTGCACTAACTGATAAATGGCATGCAAAAGGCGCTTAACGCTGAATTTGTATTAACTTTTTACACTTGGTAGGGGGGGGGGGATTCTTTTTTGGGTGGGGGGTGAATTGGGATTGTGCAAAACTGTGTGTCGGGGAGGGGGGGGGGGGTGTGGTACAATGCTCATTTTATTTTTATTTCGAAAACTAAAATAAAAACCTTTTGGGTGTAACTGCGACGCTGGTTATTTTTAGATGTAGGTGGGGGGGGGGGGGTGTCCGGCCTTTTTATGACGTCATACAGTTATTGGGTAATGGGGATAAAAATAGAATTGGCAGAAGTTATGTGACGTCATGTACGGTTGACGTAAAATCCCAAGCCGTGTAGAAACTAAAAGAGTAGTTTTGGTGTTGGGTGTTGTATCACAACTCCACATCCACGTCTAAATATTTACAGTGAACAACTGCCATCGTCACGCATGAATTAAAACACCCCGTGGATCAAATCAATAACCAGTCAAAACAATTAGGGTCCATTCGTGGCTGGAGAATGGTTGCTATGGTTACATAGTCACTGACCAACTCAATTGGACGGGGTGTAATTAGAGTGACTTAGCGCAATTAGCACCTGATATTGTTACACCTGCATGTCTCTGATTGCTCTTTAGTACATGGTAATGTTCGTTGCCATGACAACACGCTTTGTTTGAGCGACATTAGAAAAATCAATTGGCGCCCACTGTGGGGTGATACATTAATCCTCGGTTTTGTGCGTTGCGTATATGAGGAGTGTGGGGGAGTGCTTTGAGTGTGTGGCGGTTCGTGGAATGTGTGTAATGTATGTAATGTGTGTAATGTATGTAATGTGTGTAATGTATGTAATGTGTGTAATGTATGTAATGTGTGGAATGTATGTAATGTGTGGAATGTATGTAATGTGTGTAATGTATGTAATGTGTGAAATGTATGTAATGTGTGGAATGTATGTAATGTGTGGAATGTATGTAATGTGTGGAATGTATGTAATGTGTGGAATGTATGTAATATTTTGAATGTATGTAATGTGTGGAATGTATGTAATGTGTGGAATGTATGTAATGTGTGAAATGTAGGTAAATGCATAAGTTGAAGGAGCGGGCAGTCTGTCAGAATGCCACTAGGTGGTGTCAGATATTTATTTCTCTATTTGTTTATCAAGTTTAAAAAAAAAACACAACCATTGTATATTCGTCAGACTAAACACAGTTATCATCAGTTAAAAATTTAGTGTTATTCAACTTATTGCTCAACTATCAACTAAACACTGACTACAATAAAAGACAAAACGCCTTGTATTGTAGCATTAAGTTTATTACAATAACTTACAGAAACAACATTAAACACAAAAACAAAACACTGTAAATCTGGACGGATAGGTGTAGATTCTTCAGGTAGATTTTTGTAAACATCAGCTAGGTACTCAAAGAGTATAATGTTTTATCAAATAGATTTTTGTAAACATCAGCAAGATACTCAAAAAGTATAATGTTTCATGAAATAGATTTTTGTAAACAAATTTTGAATGTGTATAAATAATGTTTGTTACATTGTAAAGAAATATAGGCTGTATTTACATTGTATTCAAGACAAACCTTTTTTTTACAAGTTTCTCAGTGAAAAAATGTGGGTACAATTTAAAAAACAAAGCGAAAGAGAAAGAAAAATAGCTTAAAAAGTAGATAATTTGATAGCACATTTTAAAAATGTTAAGCAAGAGGCAAAGTACAACATTATCACAGAATTGATAGGGGAAATTTTTAAACATGTCTGATCATTATTTTTTAGTATGTGCATAGTTGACCATTACTTCCTATTATAGATCTATATGGGCACAGATAGCTGACCATTAACTTCCTATCATAGATCTATATGGGCACATAATTAAACACAACTGACCATTAACTTCCTCTTGTGTTACACCATTTTTCCAAAATGTCCAGCAACTCTACACAAAAAAACAACGAATGTGCCAAGAAATATTTCTCTTTGTCACAAGCACTTGTAAACTTTACAACATGGACATGTCAACTGTTAAAATGTAAGTATAGCACACATGTTTTTGATAAAGAAAGTGCCAAAAAAAATGTGTTTAAAAAATGTGGAGTTAACACAGCTATAAAATAATGTCTTCAAATATTCACTATAGGCCTATTATAACTGTCTTGTGGCTGCATCTAAGATTAGCTAGTCACCAACAAAATTAATTCTTTTTTCAAGTCCAAAGACAGAAGGATTAGATTTCACGGCATCAGATGAAGGGGTATGACTTCAAGGTTAAGAAGTTTCAACTTTGGACAAACTTGAGCGCCTTTTCTGGGCCCCACTAGTTGGCCGTGAATGATCGCGTACTGCACTAGTTGGCCTTGAACCATCTTGTGAACTGCTGGGTGGCCTGAAACGTACTGCACTAGTTGGCCTTGAACCATCTTGTGAAGTGCTGGGTGGCCTAAAACGATCCCGTGCTGCACTGGGTGGCCTGAAACTTAACTGATCACATCTAGGTGGGGCTTGGTACGGCTGTTTCATCCACGGCTGGGGAAAAACATTTCAGTGGTCACATCTTTGTCAGGTATACATTTTTAGACAGTTGATAAACCAAATGACATTTTTAGACAGTTGATAAATCTAATGACATTTTAGATTGGGATTGATAAACCAAATGACATTTTAAATAGGGTTTGATAAACCAAACGACATTTTAAATAGGGTTTGATAAACCAAATGACATTTTAAATAGGGTTTGATAAACCAAACGACATTTTAAATAGGGTTTGATAAACCAAATGACATTTTAAATAGGGTTTGATAAACCAAACGACATTTTAAATAGGGTTTGATAAACCAAATGACATTTTAAATAGAAGTTGATAAACCAAATGACATTTTAAATAGAAGTTGATATACCAAATAATATTTTAGATAGAAGTTGATAAACCAAATAATATTTTAGATAAGGGTTGATTTACCAAAGTACCATAACATTTTTGAGGTGATCTATAGACATTTGAGGAGATATAGAGTGAGTGACAACTACCTTAGGTAATCCAGCCAGACTGTCATTCTCCTGGTAGATGGCAGACAAGGAGTTCAAGAGTTTGTCTATTCTAGACGGGAACATGGCCATGTTTGGATTGATCGCCTCGTCAAATTTATCTTCATCGTCTTCCTCGTCTGAAATATTTGGGAAGGAAATTATACAATGACAGCACGTAAGAGAGGTTAGCTTACAGCATAAAATCATAACACTCCTTGAGTCTATTCAGCTCTATTGGGTACCTCACACACGTTGGAGAAAGTATAGTAGTTGTTGGTAGTGCTGACAATACAACCCGTAACATTTTTTAGTGCTCTGTTCACCAACTGGCTTAAAAAATCACATACGCTGAGGTGATATGTACAGGGTCTACTTAATAAGCCAAGGTGTACATAATACATGCAAGGTGTGCAATGCCATACATAATACGCCTTCTTGAAATACTGATGTGCCTACAACAAGCGCACACTTTGACCTACCATCATTAGCATAACCATCTAAGGTTTTGTTGACGTTGGGATCTATTGTGGTGGATGGCTGAGTGCCCAAGCCTGTCCACTTCTTCAGTCGACCAATCATGAAGTCAACGATCTCGTAGTCGTTGGTCTGTGACTGTACGTCTCTCCTGACCGCGGAGAAGGAATCCGTCAGGATGGACACAAACATGTTGAGTATGACAAAGGCCAGGACCACCACGTACACCAGGATGTAAACCTAAAGGGAACATACAAGTACACTGTGAAGCTAGAGGGAACATACAAGTACACTGTGAAGCTAGAGGGAACATACTAGTAAACTGTGAGCCTAGAGAGAACATATAAGTACATTGTTAACCTAGAGTGAACATACAAGTACATTGTGAAACTAGAGGGAACATACAAGTACACTGTGAGTCTTTAGGGAACATACAAGTACACTGTCAGCCTAGAGGGAACATACAAGTACATTGTACACCTAGAGGGAACATACAAGTACATTGTGAACCTAGAGGGAACATACAAGTACATTGTGAACCTAGAGGGAACATACAAGTACATTGTACACCTAGAGGGAACATACAAGTACACTGTAAACCTAGAGGGAACATACAAGTACATTGTGAACCTAGAGGGAATATACAAGTACACTGTAAACCTAGAGGGAACATACTAGTACATTGTAAACCTAGAGGGAACATACAAGTATATTGTTAAGCTAGAGGGAACATACATGTACATTGTACACCTAGAGGGAACATACAAGTACATTGTACACCTAGAGGGAACACAAGTACACTGTACACCTAGAGGGAACATACAAGTACATTGTACACCTAGAGGGAACATACAAGTACACTGTGAGCGTATAGGGAACATACAAGTACATTGTGAACCTAGAGGGAACATACAAGTACACTGTGAAGCTAGAGGGAACATACTAGTACATTGTACACCTAGAGGGAACATACTAGTACATTGTAAACCTAGAGGGAACATACAAGTACATTGTACACCTAGAGGGAACATACAAGTACATTGTACACCTAGAGGGAACATACAAGTACACTGTGAGCCTATAGGGAACATACAAGTACACTGTACACCTAGAGGGAACATACAAGTACACTGTACACCTAGAGGGAACATACAAGTACACTGTGAGCCTATAGGGAACATACAAGTACACTGTACACCTAGAGGGAACATACAAGTACATTGTGAACCTAGAGGGAACATACAAGTACATTGTACACCTAGAGGGAACATACAAGTACACTGTGAGCCTATAGGGAACATACAAATACACTGTGAGCCTATAGGGAACATACAAGTACACTGTACACCTAGAGGGAACATACAAGTACATTGTAAACCTAGAGGGAACATACAAGTACATTATGAAGCTAGAGGGAACATACAAGTACATTGTACACCTGGAGGGAACATACAAGTACACTGTACACCTAGAGGGAACATACAAGTACACTGTGAGCCTATAGGGAACATACAAGTAAACTGTCAGCCTATAGGGAACATACAAGTACACTGTACACCTAGAGGGAACATACAAGTACACTGTAACCCTAGAGGGAACATACAAGTACATTGTACACCTAGAGGGAACATACAAGTACACTGTGAAGCTAGAGGGAACATACAAGTACATTGTACATCTAGAGGGAACATACAAGTACATTGTGAAGCTAGAGGGAACATACAAGTACATTGTGAACCTAGAGGGAACATACAAGTACATTGTACAACTAGAGGGAACATACAAGTATGTTGTGAACCTAGAGGGAACAAACAAGTAAATTGTACACCTATAGGGAACATACAAGTACATTGTAAATCTAGAGAGAACAAAAAGTACATTGGACGTTAATTCTTTGCACTTTACATTTTTTTAAATTTATAACTTCTAAACTTGTTTTGGTTTTTGATACACTTAGTTATGACAAAAAAGATTTTGCAGGAATTTGTCAAAATAGAAAGCCAGGATCTACCTGAAATAGACCTGGCACTGTGACTTACCTGAGATCTTTCTTCTTCTTCTTCGTTCTTAATTATTAGTGTTGAAGTGAATCGAGATTTATCTGCCAGTGGGTTTGAACTTGAGACTTTGTTGGAATTTATCAACCATGAGCTTTTTGCCGACTCGACCACGCCTCCAACACAATTAAGCGTTACGTGTCAACTGGTTATGCGCCATTGAGGCCATTGACTCCGATTTCAGCCTGCTTTTCTTTTTGGATTTGCTTCCATAGCCTTAGCAACCATGAGCTTTACCGACTCGACCACACCGAACCCTGCTTACCTGAGATAAAACTGGCTCTACATTGCTCATGCTGACAATGCTGAACTTCCCCATCAACATGAGCAGCAGTGATGTGGCTGATGTTAAAAATGTCTCGTAGTTGTCATCACCGTTACGGAAGGTCAGGTAAAAGGCTTGGGTGAAGGCCATTAAAATGACCCAAAAGATGACGCTGTAAGATATCATTTATCCGTTATGAAACAAAATGTGTAAAATAAATCTGGTGTCATGTCAGCTATATAATAATAAATACCAAATAAACAGCTTTAAAGTATGATAAAAAAGCTCTTAACATACATACTAAGTCTAGTATTAAAATGGAACATGTAAACATGAACTAGGTTAAATATAGCTCTGGTAAATGACTCACAGAAATGAGTTGTCTTCAAGAGTGAGGTTGTCGTGCATTTCAAGTAGGTTACTTGACCATGGCATGGTCAAATAAAAGAGCGTTTGGCTGCTAGCCCAAAAGTCTCGAGTTCAGATCTTGGTTCAAACTTGTGACTGTAGGAGGTCACTGAGTCCACCCCGCTCTGATGGGTACTTGACTTATGTTAGGGAAAGAAAAGGAGGTTGGGCATAGAGCAGACCGCACCATCCCTCCATAGGCTGAAGTCAAGAAACATACAAACTCTACTTCATCTGCTCAATGGATCACTAGGTCTAAAGAGGAATCTTTACTTTTTTTTACTTGACCATATTAGTGAGTACATAATGCATTCATGTAGGTTATTTGACCACAACTGGAGCCTACCTTGTCTGATGGTACCCACCTGAAGTAGATCAGCTGTTTGCCACTGGTACCCACCTGAAGTAGATCAGCTGTTTGCCACTGGTACCCACCTGAAGTAGATCAGCTGTTTGATGGTACCCACCTGAAGTAGATCAGCTGTTTGCCACTGGTACCCACCTGAAGTAGATCAGCTGTTTGATGGTACCCACCTGAAGTAGATCAGCTGTTTACCACTGGTACCCACCTGAAGTAGATCAGCTGTTTGCCACTGGTACCCACCTGAAGTAGATCAGCTGTTTGATGGTACCCACCTGAAGTAGATCAGCTGTTTGCCACTGGTACCCACCTGAAGTAGATCAGCTGTTTGATGGTACCCACCTGAAGTAGATCAGCTGTTTGCCACTGTTCTGGAGTGTGTCTGCCAGCATTGAGATTCTCCTGTTGAAGCGCAACAGACGCAGGAACTTGATGGTGGCCAGGAAAACAACAAAGCCCATCATGTAGGAGAACATCTCGTTCCAGTAGCCGACGTACTGGAACTTGGTGTAGCCATTCCCTTGGGATTCCTGGGATAGAGATTCAAAGCTTATACGCGGGACTTTAACAAAATACATCAGTTAAGCTAGGTAAAATAGCTTAATAAAACATGTTTATGTATGGGCCTACTGAGATGCTAGTCTCATGAGTTACATTTTTCTGATTGCTCCTTACAGTAAGAAAATGTCAAATGACTTACTGTTATGATGCATGGTTTATGAGTATAAATTGGTGCAAATGAATCTTGGTGCAGATGTATAATGAACTAATGAAAATGTGAAAAAAACAGTAACACAAAATGTAGAAAACAGTGTTGGAATGGTATGCAAGCTAATGAATTAGGGGCTAGGTACAGAATATGTGGTTGTATATTTATCTAAAATGAGTTCAGTAGTTGAATAAATAGTGAAATAGAAAATAATAGGTATTAATAAGTGATATCGCTTCTATCGTTGTGATGTGGTTGACCAAAGAAACGATTTTATTAAAATGGTATTGGCAGTGGATTGCATCAGGTTAAGCCTGACCATCTCACAGCTACCCTAACACAGCTACCCTAACACAGCTACCCTAACACAACTACCCTAACACAGCTACCCTAACACAGCTACCCTAACACAGCTACCCTAACACAGCTACCCTAACACAACTACCCTAACACAGCTACCCTAACACAACTACCCTAACACAGCTACCCTAACACAGCTACCCTAACACAGCTACCTCTGTCAGCTACCCTAACACAACTACCCTAACACAGCTACCCTAACACAGCTACCCTAACACAGCTACCCTAACACAACTACCCTAACACAGCTACCCTAACACAGCTACCCTAACACAGCTACCCTAACACAACTACCCTAACACAGCTACCCTAACACAGCTACCCTAACACAGCTACCCTAACACAGCTACCCTAACACAGCTACCCTAACACAGCTACCTTAACACAGCTACCCTAACACAACTACCCTAACACAGCTACCCTAACACAACTACCCTAACACAGCTACCCTAACACAGCTACCCTAACACAGCTACCCTAACACAGCTACCCTAACACAGCTACCTTCTGACAACTACCCTAACACAGCTACCCTAACACAGCTACCCTAACACAGCTACCCTAACACAGCTACCTTCTGACAACTACCCTAACACAGCTACCCTAACACAACTACCCTAACACAACTACCCTAACACAACTACCCTAACACAGCTACCCTAACACAACTACCCTAACACAGCTACCCTAACACAACTACCCTAACACAGCTACCCTAACACAGCTACCTTCTGATAACTACCCTAACACCGCTACCCTAACACAACTACCTTAACACAGCTACCCTAACACAGCTACCTTCTGACAACTACCCTAACACAGCTACCCTAACACAGCTACCCTAACACAGCTACCCTAACACAACTACCCTAACACAACTACCCTAACACAGCTACCCTAACACAGCTACCCTACCACAACTACCCTAACACAACTACCCTAACACAGCTACCCTAACACAGCTACCCTAACACAGCTACCCTAACACAGCTACCCTAACACAGCTACCCTAACACAGCTACCCTAACACAGCTACCCTAACACAGCTACCCTAACACAACTACCCTAACACAGCTACCCTAACACAGCTACCCTAACACAGCTACCCTACCACAACTACCCTAACACAACTACCCTAACACAGCTACCCTAACACAGCTACCCTAACACAACTACCCTACCACAACTACCCTAACACAACTACCCTAACACAACTACCCTAACACAACTACCCTAACACAACTACCCTAACACAGCTACCCTAACACAACTACCCTAACACAACTACCCTAACACAGCTACCCTAACACAACTACCCTAACACAGCTACCCTAACACAGCTACCCTAACACAACTACCCTAACAGCTACCCTCTCACAGCTACCCTAACACAACTACCCTAACACAGCTACCCTAACACAACTACCCTAACACAGCTACCCTAACACAACTACCCTAACACAGCTACCCTAACAGCTACCCTAACACAGCTACCCTAACACAACTACCCTAACACAGCTACCCTAACACAACTACCCTAACACAGCTACCCTAACACAACTACCCTAACACAGCTACCCTAACACAGCTACCCTCTAACAGTTACCCTAACACAACTACCCTAACACAGCTACCCTAACACAACTACCCTAACACAGCTACCCTAACACAACTACCCTAACACAGCTACCCTAACAGCTACCCTAACACAGCTACCCTAACACAACTACCCTAACACAGCTACCCTAACACAACTACCCTAACACAGCTACCCTAACAGCTACCCTAACACAGCTACCCTAACACAGCTACCCTAACACATCTACCCAAACACAACTACCCTAACACAACTACCCTAACACAGCTACCCTAACACAACTACCCTAACACAGCTACCCTAACACAACTACCTCTAACAACTACCCTAACACAGCTACCCTAACACAACTACCCTAACACAACTACCCTAACACAACTACCCTAACACAACTACCCTAACACAGCTACCCTAACACAACTACCCTAACACAGCTACCCTAACACAACTACCCTAACACAGCTACCCTAACACAACTACCCTAACACAGCTACCCTAACACAACTACCCTAACACAACTACCCTAACACAACTACCCTAACACAACTACCCTAACACAACTACCCTAACACAACTACCCTAACACAACTACCCTAACACAACTACCCTAACACAACTACCCTAACACAGCTACCCTAACATGGCTAGCTCTGACAGCTACCCTAACACAACTACCCTAACACAGCTACCCTAAAAAAGCTACCCTAACACTTACCTTGACTTGCTTCAAAAGCTTGTTGGTTTCAAACATCCTGTAGAAGTAGATGACTATAGCCCCAATAGAGCAACCAATGGTGGACAGCTCCATCCACGTCCAGAACTGGAAGAAATATTGGCCCTTCAGCCTGGGAGAAACAGAGAGTTGATGAGATTATATTGGAAACAGAGAGTTGATGAGATTATATTGGCCCTTCAGCCTGGGAGAATCAGAGAGTTGATGAAATTATATTGGCCCTTCAGCCTGGGAGAAACAGAGAGTTGATGAGATTATATTGGCCCTTCAGTCTAGGAGAAACAGAGAGTTGATGAGATTATATTGGCCCTTCAGTCTAGGAGAAACAGAGAGTTGATGAGATTATATTGGCCCTTCAGTCTAGGAGAAACAGAGAGTTGATGAGATTATATTGGCCCTTCAGTCTAGGAGAAACAGAGAGTTGATGAGATTATATTGGCCCTTCAGTCTAGGAGAAACAGAGAGTTGATGAGATTATATTGGCCCTTCAGCCTGGGAGAAACAGAGAGTTGATGAGATTATATTGGCCCTTCAGCCTGGGAGAAACAGAGAGTTGATGAGATTAAATTGGAAACAGAGAGTTGATGAGATTATATTGGAAACAGAGAGTTGATGAGATTATATTGGCCCTTCAGTCTAGGAGAAACAGAGAGTTGATGAGATTATATTGGCCCTTCAGCCTGGGAGAAACTGAGAGTTGATGAGATTATATTGGCCCTTCAGCCTGGGAGAAACAGAGAGTTGATGAGATTATATTGGCCCTTCAGCCTGGGAGAAACTGAGAGTTGATGAGATTATATTGGCCCTTCAGTCTGGGAGAAACAGAGAGTTGATGAGATTATATTGGCCCTTCAGCCTGGGAGAAACAGAGAGTTGATGAGATTATATTGGCCCTTCAGCCTGGGAGAAACAGAGAGTTCATGAGATTATATTGGCCCTTCAGCCTGGGAGGAACAGAGAGTTCATGAGATTATATTGGCCCTTCAGCCTGGGAGAAACAGAGAGTTGATGAGATTATATTGGCCCTTCAGCCTGGGAGAAACAGAGAGTTGATGAGATTATATTGGCCCTTCAGCCTAGGAGAAACAGAGAGTTGATGAGATTATATTGGCCCTTCAGCCTGGGAGGAACAGAGAGTTCATGAGATTATATTGGCCCTTCAGCCTGGGAGAAACAGAGAGTTGATGAGATTATATTGGCCCTTCAGCCTGGGAGAAACAGAGAGTTGATGAGATTATATTGGCCCTTCAGCCTAGGAGAAACAGAGAGTTGATGAGATTATATTGGCCCTTCAGCCTGGGAGAAACAGAGAGTTGATGAGATTATATTGGCAATTCAGCCTAGGAGAAACAGAGAGTTGATGAGATTATATTGGCCCTTCAGCCTAGGAGAAACAGAGAGTTGATGAGATTATATTTGCCCTTCAGCCTAGGAGAAACAGAGAGTTGATGAGATTATATTGGCCCTTCAGCCTGGGAGAAACAGAGATGAGATTATATTGGCCCTTCAGTCTGGGAGAAACAGAGAGTTGATGAGATTATATTGGCCCTTCAGCCTGGGAGAAACAGAGAGTTGATGAGATTATATTGGCCCTTCAGCCTGGGAGAAACAGAGAGTTCATGAGATTATATTGGCCCTTCAGCCTGGGAGGAACAGAGAGTTCATGAGATTATATTGGCCCTTCAGCCTGGGAGAAACAGAGAGTTGATGAGATTATATTGGCCCTTCAGCCTGGGAGAAACAGAGAGTTGATGAGATTATATTGGCAATTCAGCCTAGGAGAAACAGAGAGTTGATGAGATTATATTGGCCCTTCAGCCTGGGAGAAACAGAGAGTTGATGAGATTATATTGGCAATTCAGCCTAGGAGAAACAGAGAGTTGATGAGATTATATTGGCAATTCAGCCTAGGAGAAACAGAGAGTTGATGAGATTATATTGGCCCTTCAGCCTGGGAGAAACAGAGAGTTGATGAGATTATATTTGCCCTTCAGTCTGGGAGAAACAGAGAGTTGATGAGATTATATTGGCCCTTCAGCCTGGGAGAAACAGAGATGAGATTATATTGGCCCTTCAGTCTGGGAGAAACAGAGAGTTGATGAGATTATATTTGCCCTTCAGTCTGGGAGAAACAGAGAGTTGATGAGATTATATTGGCCCTTCAGCCTGGGAGAAACAGAGATGAGATTATATTGGCCCTTCAGTCTGGGAGAAACAGAGAGTTGATGAGATTATATTGGCCCTTCAGCCTGGGAGAAACAGAGAGTTGATGAGATTATATTGGCAATTCAGCCTAGGAGAAACAGAGAGTTGATGAGATTATATTGGCCCTTCAGCCTGGGAGAAACAGAGAGTTGATGAGATTATATTTGCCCTTCAGTCTGGGAGAAACAGAGAGTTGATGAGATTATATTGGCCCTTCAGCCTGGGAGAAACAGAGAGTTGATGAGATTATATTGGCCCTTCAGTCTGGGAGAGTTGATGAGATTATATTGGCCCTTCAGCCTGGGAGAAACAGAGAGTTGATGAGATTATATTGGCCCTTCAGCCTGGGAGAAACAGAGAGTTGATGAGATTATATTGGCCCTTCAGCCTGGGAGAAACAGAGAGTTGATGAGATTATATTGGCCCTTCAGCCTGGGAGAAACAGAGAGTTGATGAGATTATATTGGCCCTTCAGTCTGGGAGAAACAGAGAGTTGATGAGATTATATTGGCCCTTCAGCCTGGGAGAAACAGTGAGTTGATGAGATTATATTGGCCCTTCAGCCTGGGAGAAACAGAGATTAGTACTGGTCAATTAAGCTTGAATGTTTTAATTTTTACAATATATCTACATCTGTTTCTTGACAGACATGTCACTTAAGGTAACAATAAAAATGTGCAACGGATAATTGCACATGTTTTTACTACAGATGGAAATACTTTTTTTTAAATTGGTAGCTTACTAAAACATTTTTTCATGAAATATTACCAAGTAAAGCTGAATTAATATAACCAGTATGTACATTATTTATGCATTTTTCTGTTTGCACAATTTTCAGTTACACATTTTTTCATTGCACTTTTTTCTAGGAGATGTCATATAATGTACAGAAACCTTTTGACAGGTGTGTCACATAATGTACCTTAAAAGCTTCTCTCACTACAGTAAATGATCAAGTAGAGAAACAAGCTTAGTCTTGCAAGAAAAAAATTTAAAGACAATAAAGAGAACCTCACACACTTCAATCTAATTCATTAGCTGTCTGACTATAAACACAATGATATAGACAAAAAACAGAACAAATCAATCAACTTACTTGATGAACTGTCTGATCTCTATGACTATAAACACAATGATATAGATGACAAACAGAACAAATCAATCAACTTACTTGATGAACTGTCTGATCTCTATGACTATAAACACAATGATATAGATGACAAACAGAACACCACAACTTACTTGATGAACTGTCTGATCTCTATGACTATAAACACAATGATATAGATGACAAACAGAACAAATCAATCAACTTACTTGATGAACTGTCTGATCTCTATGACTATAAACACAATGATATAGACAAAAACAGAACAAATCAATCAACTTACTTGATGAACTGTCTGATCTCTATGACTATAAACACAATGATATAGATGACAAACAGAACAAATCAATCAACTTACTTGATGAACTGTTTGATCTCTATGACTATAAACACAATGATGTAGATAACAAACAGAACAAATCAATCAACTTACTTGATGAACTGTCTGATCTCTATGACTATAAACACAATGAAATAGACAAAAAACAGAACAAATCAATCAACTTACTTGATGAACTGTCTGATCTCTATGACTATAAACACAATGATATAGACAAAAACAGAACAAATCAATCAACTTACTTGATGAACTGTCTGATCTCTATGACTATAAACACAATGATATAGATGACAAACAGAACAAATCAATCAACTTACTTGATGAACTGTTTGATCTCTATGACTATAAACACAATGAAATAGACAAAAAACAGAACAAATCAATCAACTTACTTGATGAACTGTCTGATCTCTATGACTATAAACACAATGATATAGACAAAAACAGAACAAATCAATCAACTTACTTGATGAACTGTCTGATCTCTATGACTATAAACACAATAATATACACAAAAACAGAACAAATCAATCAACTTACTTGATGAACTGTCTGATCTCTATGACTATAAACACAATGATATAGATGACAAACAGAACAAATCAATCAACTTACTTGATGAACTGTCTGATCTATATGACTATAAACACAATGATATAGACAAAAACAGAACAAATCAATCAACTTACTTGATGAACTGTCTGATCTCTATGACTATAAACACAATGATATAGATGACAAACACCGCCTCGCAAACAATCTGGAATATCATGGCATTGTCCATATACGGCAACAACATAGCAGGCTCAAAGCGGTAAGATGGCTGAAGTCCATTGGCAATGTCCAGTTCTATCAGCATGGTGTTGACAGAGAATAAATTTATCTGAAACATACATTATAGAAGCTGTTAAAGGAAAAATTCAACTGACAGTGGAAAAATTCACATGAAAAACAGACATTTTGACTTAAAATAAATTTACTTAATACACAAACACCCTGACAGAAGAAAAATTCACATGAAATGTAGCCAGATATAAAATGAACATAGTTACATGCATTGGGAAATAAAATGCTAATTTATAAACCTAATGCTATCATATCTAGCATATAGTTATAACTCAAAAAGTTAGACCAGGGGTCGGCAACCTGCGGCTCGCGAGCCGCATGCGGCTCTTTTGATATCAAGATGCAGCTCTCTAGCTCTTTGAACTAATACCAATAATCTTAATAAAAAAATAAAATAATTGAAATTAAAAAAATGTTAGTGGCTCTTTAAAACCAGGAAAATTTGGAAAATTGTAACTTTTGGCTCTTCCGCTTCAAAAGGTTGCCGACCCCTGAGTTAGACCCTAAGTCAAAAAATTAAAAATAGCAGAAAACTTCCTGCTGTTGCCATGGTGATGGTGGCCATATTGGAATTTTTTTTTACCACTTTAACATTGAAACAACTTTCTTATTCCTTATTAAAATTGATCAAAATTCTCTCTAGTTATTTATATATATATATATATATATATATATATATATATATATATATATATATATATATATATATATATATATATATATATATATATATATATATATATATATATATATATATATATATATATATATATATATATATATATATATATATATATATATATATATATATATATATATATATATATATAAAATATATATAAATATATATATAATATATATATATATATATATATATATATATATATATATATATATATATATATATATATATATATATATATATATATATATATATATATATATATATATATATATATATATATATATAGGCCTATATATAAACAAAACTGATAGAACAAATTTTTAGTAAATTTGTATGATTTTCAGTAATTTTCAGGAAAAAAATTGTAAAAAACAAGAGCATTTTAAAATTTGAAAATGTAATCTAGCAGAATTGTTACATTGTTAATACGCAAAAATTATGATTTTTTGTATATATTTCTGAAATAACCATGAAACAATGTTAAAAAACGGGATCACTGTATCGTCATTTTTGGCAGCCATCATTACCATGATGACGGTAAAGAAATTAGGTCAAGCGACAGGCTGCTATAATCCTATAAGTTTTAATTGACTTTGCATAAGCCACCTTTGAGTTATTTCGATGTTAAAAAGGTAAATAAAATCCAAGATGTCCGCTATATGCTAAATATTATAGCATTAGGTTTAGAAATAAGCATTATGGCTGATTTCGTAATCATCATCTGCTAATGCCCTTAAAGAAATATTATTAAAAATATATGTATAAATTGAATAGGTGTTAAAATTTAACTGTTTCTGTAATCCTGTAGAAATACAGGTTGTGGGTTGTAAACAGTGAACAAAATCTTACCTGTGAGTTGTAGAAACAAAATCTTACCTGTGGGTTGTAGACAGTAAACTCAATAAAAACAACTCTGGTGTAACGGTCAATCCAGTTCTCAGTTTGCAGCCTCTTGAAGGTATCATTGAGTTGTGTTCTAGAGCCTGTCAGATGCACCACATAGCCTCCACCTGTAGACAGCAGCTTGTGATTTAACCTTTAACCTCCACAGAGAGAATACTCTATGACACTTTTTTCTTAGTACAAAATCATGTGATAAAAGTATATTATTTTGCTTAAAAACATACTTTTAAAAAAAGTTTTAATAAAATAAAAAAATTAAAGAAACTACTGTCTTTTCATACGTTAAATAGTTACTTAGAGTGACACTAACATTCTTCTCTGATTTATTACTAAAACAAAAGGTTATGGGGCTTTTGTGAGAGAAAGGGTGTGAAATTACACTTGAAGCTCACTTGGATAGAGTGCAATTTTTCCCAAACAGTGGTAGCCTGAATAGAGTGTGGATGCCTAGGGGTAGCCATAATACACACAAACCCACCTGAATAGTGTAGATGTCTAGGGGTTGCCGTAATACACAAACCCACCTTAGTGGCTGTCTAGGGGTAGCCATAATACACAAACCCACCTTAGTGGCTGTCTAGGGGTAGCCATAATACACAAACCCACCTTAGTGGCTGTCTAGGGGTAGCCATAATACACAAACCCACCTTAGTGGCTGTCTAGGGGTAGCCATAATACACAAACCCACCTTAGTGGCTGTCTAGGGGTAGCCATAATACACAAACCCACCTTAGCGGCTGTCTAGGGGTAGCCATAATACACAAACCCACCTTAGTGGCTGTCTAGGGGTAGCCATAATACACAAACCCACCTTAGTGGCTGTCTAGGGGTAGCCATAATACACAAACCCACATGAATAGTGTAGATGTCTAGGGGTAGTCATACTACACACAAACCCACCTGAATAGAGTGTGGATGTGTACAGGTAACCATACTACACACAAACCCACCTGAATAGAGTGTGGATGTGTACAGGTAACCATACTACACACAAACCCACCTGAATAGAGTGTAGATGTGTACAGGTAACCATACTACACACAAACCCACCTGAATAGAGTGTGGATGTGTACAGGTAACCATACTACACACAAACCCACCTGAATAGAGTGTGGATGTCTAAGGGTAACCATACTACACACAAACCCACCTGAATAGAGTGTGGATGTGTACAGGTAGCCATACTACACACAAACCCACCTGAATAGAGTGTAGATGTCTAAGGGTAACCATACTACACACAAACCCACCTGAATAGAGTGTGGATGTCTAAGGGTAACCATACTACACACAAACCCACCTGAATAGAGTGTGGATGTGTACAGGTAGTCATACTACACACAAACCCACCTGAATAGAGTGTAGATGTGTACAGGTAGCCATACTACACACAAACCCACCTGAATAGAGTGTAGATGTGTACAGGTAGCCATACTACACACAAACCCACCTGAGTAGAGTGTAGATGTGTACAGGTAGCCATACTACACACAAACCCACCTGAATAGAGTGTAGATGTGTACAGGTAGCCATACTACACACAAACCCACCTGAATAGAGTGTAGATGTGTACAGGTAGCCATACTACACACAAACCCACCTGAATAGAGTGTAGATGTGTACAGGTAGCCATACTACACACAAACCCACCTGAATAGAGTGTAGATGTGTACAGGTAGCCATACTACACACAAACCCACCTGAATAGAGTGTAGATGTGTACAGGTAGCCATACTACACACAAACCCACCTGAATAGAGTGTAGATGTGTACAGGTAGCCATACTACACACAAACCCACCTGAATAGAGTGTAGATGTGTACAGGTAGTCATAATACACACAAACCCACCTGAATAGAGTGTGGATGTCTAGGGGTAGCCATGCTACACACAAACCCACCTGAGTAGAGTGTGGATGTCTAAGGGTAACCATACTACACACAAACCCACCTGAATAGAGTGTGGATGTCTAAGGGTAACCATACTACACACAAACCCACCTGAATAGAGTGTGGATGTCTAAGGGTAACCATACTACACACAAACCCACCTGAATAGAGTGTAGATGTGTACAGGTAGCCATAATACACACAAACCCACCTGAATAGAGTGTGGATGTCTAAGGGTAACCATACTACACACAAACCCACCTGAATAGAGTGTGGATGTCTAAGGGTAACCATAATACACACAAACCCACCTGAGTAGAGTGTGGATGTGTACAGGTAGCCATACTACACACAAACCCACCTGAATAGAGTGTGGATGTGTACAGGTAGTCATACTACACACAAACCCACCTGAATAGAGTGTGGATGTCTAAGGGTAACCATACTACACACAAACCCACCTGAATAGAGTGTGGATGTCTAAGGGTAGCCATACTACACACAAACCCACCTGAGTAGAGTGTAGATGTGTACAGGTAGCCATACTACACACAAACCCACCTGAGTAGAGTGTGGATGTCTAAGGGTAACCATACTACACACAAACCCACCTGAATAGAGTGTGGATGTGTACAGGTAGCCATACTACACACAAACCCACCTGAATAGAGTGTGGATGTCTAAGGGTAACCATACTACACACAAACCCACCTGAATAGAGTGTGGATGTCTAAGGGTAACCATACTACACACAAACCCACCTGAGTAGAGTGTGGATGTGTACAGGTAACCATACTACACACAAACCCACCTGAATAGAGTGTAGATGTTTACAGGTAGCCATACTACACACAAACCCACCTGAATAGAGTGTGGATGTGTACAGGTAGTCATACTACACACAAACCCACCTGAATAGAGTGTAGATGTCTAAGGGTAACCATACTACACACAAACCCACCTGAGTAGAGTGTGGATGTGTACAGGTAACCATACTACACACAAACCCACCTGAATAGAGTATGGATGTGTACAGGTAGTCATACTACACACAAACCCACCTGAATAGAGTGTGGATGTCTAAGGGTAACCATACTACACACAAACCCACCTGAGTAGAGTGTGGATGTGTACAGGTAACCATACTACACACAAACCCACCTGAATAGAGTATGGATGTGTACAGGTAGCCATACTACACACAAACCCACCTGAATAGAGTGTAGATGTGTACAGGTAGTCATAATACACACAAACCCACCTGAATAGAGTGTGGATGTCTAGGGGTAGCCATGCTACACACAAACCCACCTGAGTAGAATGTGGATGTCTAAGGGTAAACATACTACACACAAACCCACCTGAATAGAGTGTGGATGTCTAAGGGTAACCATACTACACACAAACCCACCTGAATAGAGTGTGGATGTGTACAGGTAGTCATACTACACACAAACCCACCTGAATAGAGTGTGGATGTCTAAGGGTAACCATACTACACACAAACCCACCTGAATAGAGTGTGGATGTCTAAGGGTAACCATACTACACACAAACCCACCTGAATAGAGTGTGGATGTGTACAGGTAGTCATACTACACACAAACCCACCTGAATAGAGTATGGATGTGTACAGGTAGTCATACTACACACAAACCCACCTGAATAGAGTGTGGATGTGTACAGGTAACCATACTACACACAAACCCACCTGAATAGAGTGTGGATGTCTAAGGGTAACCATACTACACACAAACCCACCTGAATAGAGTGTGGATGTGTACAGGTAACCATACTACACACAAACCCACCTGAATAGAGTGTGGATGTGTACGGGTAACCATACTACACACAAACCCACCTGAATAGAGTATGGATGTGTACAGGTAGTCATACTACACACAAACCCACCTGAATAGAGTATGGATGTGTACAGGTAGCCATACTACACACAAACCCACCTGAGTAGAGTGTGGATGTCTAAGGGTAGCCATAATACACACAAACCCACCTGAATAGAGTGTGGATGCCTAGGGGTAGCCATACTACACACAAACCCACCTGAGTAGAGTGTAGATGTGTACAGGTAGCCATACTACACATAAACACACCTGAATAGAGTGTAGATGTGTACAGGTAGTCATACTACACACAAACCCACCTGAATAGAGTGTGGATGTCTAAGGGTAACCATACTACACACAAACCCACCTGAATAGAGTGTGGATGTCTAAGGGTAACCATACTACACACAAACCCACCTGAATAGAGTGTGGATGTGTACAGGTAGTCATACTACACACAAACCCACCTGAATAGAGTATGGATGTGTACAGGTAGTCATACTACACACAAACCCACCTGAATAGAGTGTGGATGTGTACAGGTAACCATACTACACACAAACCCACCTGAATAGAGTGTGGATGTCTAAGGGTAACCATACTACACACAAACCCACCTGAATAGAGTGTGGATGTGTACAGGTAACCATACTACACACAAACCCACCTGAATAGAGTGTGGATGTGTACGGGTAACCATACTACACACAAACCCACCTGAATAGAGTGTGGATGTGTACAGGTAGTCATACTACACACAAACCCACCTGAATAGAGTATGGATGTGTACAGGTAGCCATACTACACACAAACCCACCTGAGTAGAGTGTGGATGTCTAAGGGTAGCCATAATACACACAAACCCACCTGAATAGAGTGTGGATGCCTAGGGGTAGCCATACTACACACAAACCCACCTGAGTAGAGTGTAGATGTGTACAGGTAGTCATACTACACACAAACCCACCTGAATAGAGTGTGGATGTGTACAGGTAGCCATAATACACACAAACCCACCTGAATAGAGTGTGGATGTCTAAGGGTAACCATACTACACACAAACCCACCTGAATAGAGTGTGGATGTCTAAGGGTAACCATACTACACACAAACCCACCTGAATAGAGTGTGGATGTGTACAGGTAGTCATAATACACACAAACCCACCTGAGTAGAGTGTAGATGCCTAGGGGTAGCCATACTACACACAAACCCACCTGAATAGAGTGTGGATGTGTACAGGTAACCATACTACACACAAACCCACCTGAATAGAGTGTAGATGTGTACAGGTAGCCATACTACACACAAACCCACCTGAATAGAGTGTAGATGTGTACAGGTAACCATACTACACACAAACCCACCTGAGTAGAGTGTGGTTGTGTACAGGTAGTCATACTACACACAAACCCACCTGAATAGAGTGTAGATGTGTACAGGTAACCATACGACACACAAACCCACCTGAGTAGAGTGTGGATGCCTAGGGGTAACCATACTACACACAAACCCACCTGAATAGAGTGTGGATGCCTAGGGGTAGCCATACTACACACAAACCCACCTGAATAGAGTGTGGATGTGTACAGGTAGTCATACTACACACAAACCCACCTGAATAGAGTGTGGATGCCTAGGGGTAACCATACTACACACAAACCCACCTGAATAGAGTGTGGATGCCTAGGGGTAGCCATACTACACACAAACCCACCTGAATAGAGTGTGGATGCCTAGGGGTAACCATACTACACACAAACCCACCTGAATAGAGTGTGGATGTGTACAGGTAACCATACTACACACAAACCCACCTGAGTAGAGTGTGGATGATCCCAAGTAGGGGTAGCTATTGAGAGATTCAGCAGTAGACCAGGTATAGCCAGAGTTCTTGACCCCTGTCTTGTTTGGTCCGAGCTCAGTCCAGCCAACATCAAAGTCCCGATCCTCCTGGTCAAATATGGTGTACGGCACATTGCACTCATGGATCATATTCCTAAAGGGTTTAGGCACTTCACACTGGTCTGCAAGAAATACAGCAGGTAAAGAAACATAGGCAGCAGGTAAAGAAACAAACATAGGCAGCAGGTAAAGAAACAAACATAGGCAGCAGGTAAAGAAACATAGGCAGCAGGTATAGAAACATAGGCAGCAGGTAAAGAAACTTAGGCAGCAGGTAAAGAAACATAGGCAGCAGGTAAAGAAACAAACATAGGCAGCAGGTAAAGAAACATAGGCAGCAGGTAAAGAAACATAGGCAGGTAAAGAAACATAGGCAGCAGGTAAAGAAACAAACATAGGCAGCAGGTAAAGAAACAAACATAGGCAGCAGGTAAAGAAACATAGGCTGCAGGTAAAGAAACATAGGCAGCAGGTTAAGAAACATAGGCAGCAGGTAAAGAAACATAGGCAGCAGGTAAAGAAACAAACATAGGCAGCAGGTAAAGAAACAAAGGCAGCAGGTAAAGAAACATAGGCAGCAGGTAAAGAAACATAGGCAGCAGGTAAAGAAACATAGGCAGCAGGTAAAGAAACATAGGCAGCAGGTATAGAAACATAGGCAGCAGGTAAAGAAACATAGGCAGCAGGTAAAGAAACATAGGCAGCAGGTAAAGAAACAAACATAGGCAGCAGGTAAAGAAACATAGGCAGCAGGTATAGAAACATAGGCAGCAGGTAAAGAAACTTAGGCAGCAGGTAAAGAAACATAGGCAGCAGGTAAAGAAACAAACATAGGCAGCAGGTAAAGAAACATAGGCAGCAGGTAAAGAAACATAGGCAGGTAAAGAAACATAGGCAGCAGGTAAAGAAACAAACATAGGCAGCAGGTAAAGAAACAAACATAGGCAGCAGGTAAAGAAACAAACATAGGCAGCAGGTAAAGAAATTAGGCAGCAGGTAAAGAAACAAACATAGGCAGCAGGTAAAGAAACATAGGCAGCAGGTAAAGAAACATAGGCAGGTAAAGAAACATAGGCAGCAGGTAAAGAAACAAACATAGGCAGCAGGTAAAGAAACAAACATAGGCAGCAGGTAAAGAAACATAGGCAGCAGGTAAAGAAACATAGGCAGCAGGTAAAGAAACATAAGCAGCAGGTAAAGAAACATAGGCAGCAGGTATAGAAACATAGGCAGCAGGTAAAGAAACATAGGCAGCAGGTAAAGAAACACAGGCAGCAGGTATAGAAACAAACATAGACAGCCTGTAAAACAAAAATCAGAAATAGATTTTTTTAAAACAGGAAAAACATTTCTAGTTTTTATAATATATTTTAACACACTGCGCTTCATCATAAGAATTTAATTTTTTTAACTTAACATTTAATTTGGCTCAAAACTATTAGAATGTAACATTTAATTAAGACTAAATTATTAGAACTTAATATTTCAATTGGCTCAATAATTAAAAATAACATCCTACTTGACTCAATTATCTGAATAACATTCTTCTTCTTCTTCTTCTTCGTTCTTAATTATTAGTGTTGAAGGGGGTCGAGATTTATCTGCCAGTGGGTTTGAACTCGAGACTTTGTTCGAATTTATCAACCATGAGCTTTTTGCTGACTCGACCACGCCTCCAACACAATTAAGCGTTACGTGTCAACTGGTTATGCGCCATTAAGGCCATTGACTCCGATTTCAGCCTGCTTTTCTTTTTGGATTTGCTTCCATAGCCTTTGTCCAACCAAGAACAAACTACAAGGCAGCAGTTGTTTAATTTTGGAGTTGTCTCTCCTAGAAGAGTGGCTGTCCCCAGCTAACGAGCCTCATCTGCCCGAGGGTTCGAACTCGAGACTTTTCGGTTTAGCAACCATGAGCTATACCGACTCGACCACGCCGACCCCAGAATAACATTCAATATGGTTTAAGTATTAGAATACCATTTGACCTGGCTGAGTGATTAGAACTTGACATTAATTTTGGCTCAGTTATTAAAACTTAACATTTAATTATTAGAACTAACCAGTTGGCTCAGTTATTAAAACTTAACATTTAATTATTAGAACTAACCAGCTTTGACTCTCAGCTGCCTCATTGTTGCATGTCCCAGAATTCTTGACGACTTGTCATTGACGTAGCTTCTGAGTCTCAGTGGGGGATAGTCGTTGTAGTAAGAACTGGCCATGATTCCACTGAGGAAGGATGTTTCAATCCACTTCCAGAAATCATCAATGTTTCCAATCTGAAAATATGTACACACACTTGATCTGAAATGCCTAATTTATTTTTATAAAGCACATTTTTTTTTTTTAAAAAGTAGATAATTAGACAATCATCAATGTTTCCAATCTGAAAATATGTACATACAATTATTTTTATAAAACACATTTTTTTTTCAAAAGTAGACAATTAGACAATTAACAATAGTGTAGACTAAATACAAAAAGAAAAAACAACAATGTAATTAGATTCTAAGTGTGTAGTAAAATAAAGCATTAATATTGTTTGATTTTAAAAGTAGGCACTTTACGTCAAATTTTTTTATAAATGTTGATTGTTTACTTTATAATAACACAAATCATTTTTCCTGATTGAAGTATTTTGTCTCGGCTATTTTGTCTGAGATCATTTGTCAAGGAACTTTTTCATCATGGAACCATTTGTCATGGAACCATTTGTCATGGAACCATTTGTCATGGAATGGAACCATTTGTCAAGGAACCATTTGTCATGGAACCATTTCTCAAGGAACCATTTGTCAAGGAACCATTTGTCATGGAACCATTTGTCAAGGAGCCATTTGTCATGGAACTTTTTTGTCATGGAACCATTTGTCATGGAACCATTTGTCAAGGAACCATTTGTCATGGAACCATTTGTCATGGAACCATTTGTCATGGAACCATTTGTGTATATATGAATGTATACAGGTGTGCTGATAGTTGAAATGGTTGATGCTTACATCAGTAAACTTAGGTTTGTAGTCCATGCATTCAATAAATGTCCTGTCCATTGTGTTCTTGTATCGCCAGTTGTCCGGCCCTCTGCTCCTGTGTGTAATGATGAGTAGAATCCACAGGAACATGCTGTAGAACAGTATCTCCCTGATCACACCCCACATTTTCACTTCTTTTAGACGGATTTCTCTCATTCTTTCTATCTCTTTGGGATTTGGAGGTTTGTAGCCAACTTTTTTAGGCCGAGCTGCTGCAAAGCTTCCTAGAAATAACAAAATTAAAATATCCATGACAACACGGGCCTACTTTGTTATGTTAAAAATTAAGAAACTTTGGATCATTTAAAAATTACAGCTGAGAAACAAAAAGTATAGAACACTTTCAGACCAAATGGTTTATGGGTAAAGGAAGTGGAATTTATTTCTTTGACATCAGTATACAAATGTAGAGCATGATCAGCATTATGAAGAGCAGTTTTACTTTACTTAATTCAATTCTGAGCTAGATGTGTTTAAGAATGCCCTGAGATTCAAGCTTATGAGTAAAATTCTATCCCTTGATCCCAACTAGTTATTAAATAGAATTGTGTGACATTATTAGCTTAACAGAAAAACTATACATAACTAATATAAGAGTGGATATTGTTGACAACACCTAATTTTATTATAGCCAGGGTTAGAATGAGTTGGATGGTTTACAGTAAGATCAGTATTAAGTAAGGAGGGTAAGTGTAGCATTAGGCCTTGTTTAAATAGCTTTATCAGACCTACCATCTATGTCTGTATGCATGAAACCATCCTCTGTATTGATGGGGTAAGTTTCTTCATCAGATTCCTCATCATCTTCATCCTCTCCAGGGTTTCTGATGATCAGTGACAGGAAGATGGCTGTCAGTATCACCTGTAGAAGTAAGGTGGGCAACACATGATTAATTATCTGATGGTTTAACACGACTTACCTGGATTCAATGAGTCATTGATTTTTATTGTTTGAGATTGTCAGAAACATAAAAATGTAACGGTTTAACACTGGCTGAATGATAAACATGTAACGGTTTAACATTGGTTAAATGATATAGGCTACATGAAAATTATACACATGCAAAGGTTTAACATTAGTTGAATGATAAACATGTAATGAAGGTTTAACATGAAAAAGTCTACCTTGATTGGCTGAGTGATGAATACTGATGTGAAGAAAGATATAATAAGGGAAGTAATCCACTTCTTGCAGGTCGAATCCTGTGGAAATATATATTTATAATAGCTAACCTTTTTTCTTATATTATACATATTTATGGGGAACACAATCAAAATGTCTAAAACAACAACATTAACATTTTATATTATATGAAACAACAGCATTAATAAATATTTTATATACAAGTTTAGAGACAGCTTCATGTACATAGAGGTTTAGTATAAAGTTTGTACCTGGAATGAGATGCCATAAAATGTAACAAGGGCCACAGACATGATGGTACAGAGTACAAGAATAACCCAGGCCACAATCTGGCACCACCAGGGGAGCTGCAGGGATTTCTTTTTAGCACTCACAGTGCTGGATGAGGGGCTTTCACTTGGGATGGGGGAGGAGGGGCCTGCAAGAATTGTTGTTTACATATTTTTTGTAGTCAAACTTCATTTTTGTTAACAAAATTATTTTTTTTCAGATTTAACAGAAACAGATTAAATCATTTTCTCTGGAAAATGCATTTTTAAATATTACTGCTGTAAGTTTTTAAAAAGCATTAGGTCTACTGAAGCTGAACAAATCTCATTTAATTACTCAACAGCTATTTAAATTTTAATCAAAATAACCAGCAGGACAAGTTAAGCATAAAGGGCATATGAAAAACAACGACCATGACTAGATACAACAAAGGCTTTGTTTATCTAAGGGTGTGGACTACTCCAACAGAGGTTTTGTTTATCTAAGGGTGTGGACTACTCCATACCTGCTCCATCCTTGACTAATTTTTCTTTGTCACTCCTTGCATCTGGCATAGATACCGTAGTAGCCAGACTGGTAGTGGAGCGGGTAAACTCAGAATCCATCTAGAGGATCAATGGATTGGATTAAAATAAACATTTCATAGGAACATTAAACAAAAGCATGTCATTATTTTCACCAAGTTTTATGTTCTTTTTTGTAATTACCCAACTACTAAATGTGTATTTCTAGATACAAGCACACTTTAAGAGATTTCTTTAGTAGTCTAGCGCTCTACCCCAACTCTGATGGGTAACTAGGGAAAGCAAAAGCAGCTGGGCATAGTGCTGACCAATTTATCCCTTCATATGCAGAGGTCACAGAAACAGGTGAACTCTACTACATTTGTCCTGTGGACAGTCAGGTTTAAGAAGGGAATTTTACTACTTCAGTCTAACATCTGGCTTAAGGAACTAGAAAAGATTTTAGAGGTTCATTTGTTTTACAATGTTATGTCAGATATTAAACATGATGTACTGTACATTAAATTATTTAAATATATATATCTAAAGATAATTCAAAAATATAGAAAAAATTTACCAAAACTTCACATTCATGACAATATTTTGAAACAATTAATGACTGAATTAATTTTGTATTGCATGATGACATAATCTTAAATGCTCCTAGACTGACATAATGAGAGTACCTGTGGGTTAACTTGACTGACATTACCTGTGGGTTAACTTGACTGACATTACCTGTGGGTTAACTTGACTGACATTACCTGTGGGTTAACTTGAGTGACATTACCTGTGGGTTAACTTGACTGACATTACCTGTGGGTTAACTTGACTGACATTACCTGTGGGTTAACTTGACTGACATTACCCGTGGGTTAACTTGACTGACATAGTGACATTACCCGTGGGTTAACTTGACTGACATTACCTGTGGGTTAACTTGACTGCCATTACCTGTGGGTTAACTTGACTGACATAGTGACATTACCCGTGGGTTAACTTGACTGACACTACCTGTGGGTTAACTTGACTGACATTACCTGTGGGTTAACTTGACTGACATTACCTGTGGGTTAACTTGACTGACATTACCCGTGGGTTAACTTGACTGACATAGTGACATTACCCGTGGGTTAACTTGACTGACATTACCTGTGGGTTAACTTGACTGCCATTACCTGTGGGTTAACTTGACTGACATAGTGACATTACCCGTGGGTTAACTTGACTGACATTACCTGTGGGTTAACTTGACTGACATTACCTGTGGGTTAACTTGACTGACATTACCTGTGGGTTAACTTGACTGACATAGTGACATTACCCGTGGGTTAACTTGACTGACATTACCTGTGGGTTAACTTGACTGACATTACCTGTGGGTTAACTTGACTGACATTACCTGTGGGTTAACTTGACTGACATTACCTGTGGGTTAACTTGACTGACATTACCTGTGGGTTAACTTGACTGACATTACCTGTGGGTTAACTTGACTGCCATTACCTGTGGGTTAACTTGACTGACATAGTGACATTACCCGTGGGTTAACTTGACTGACATTACCTGTGGGTTAACTTGACTGACATTACCTGTGGGTTAACTTGACTGACATTACCTGTGGGTTAACTTGACTGACATAGTGACATTACCCGTGGGTTAACTTGACTGACATTACCTGTGGGTTAACTTGACTGACATTACCTGTGGGTTAACTTGACTGACATTACCTGTGGGTTAACTTGACTGACATTACCTGTGGGTTAACTTGACTGACATTACCTGTGGGTTAACTTGACTGAGTTTTGCTGTTCCTGGCCTGGTGTCCCCTGCTAGAGCCAGCTGAACACGAGATGGCCTTTTGTGTCGGGGCTGTGCTTTGCGGAATAAAAACACTAGCAGGAAGTTGACAGGAAATACAATCACTGTGCTGATAAACCCAATGAAGATCTGAAATATGAAATTTTATTTCACAATCTGAAACAGTTGCTATGAAAATATCAAATATCAAATATCAAATTTTAATTAGAAAACTGAAATAGTTTTTAAAAAGTTAAACATAATTTTTTTTCAGAAAACTTAAATTATTTATTAAAAAAAAATAACCATCATGTTCAGCATAATTGTTTTATCCTTATATATTATAAATCATTCAGATTTTTATGGTAGTTGCTCCATAATAAATATATCTGCTGCCATTGCTTGTCCTCTAATGCTGTTGCTAGTAGTGCTTACAGCTAAACCTATAACTTTTAGTTTTTTGATGAAAAGAAAGTTTAACCTGAGAGACACTGAGTGAAAAAGGTCCAAACTCAAAGGACGTCGAAGCGCTGGTTGAGGTGCTGCCAGATGTGTTGTAGAACATGGCATTGGTCAGCATGGTCATGAAGAGCAGACACAGACAACACGCCACCCTCTGGACACAGGTGAAGCGACTGCCCGGTGGACGCGCCACCACTGAGAACCACAGGTGACCATCGGCCAGATTTTTCTTGCTGCGCTCTGAAAATTGGTAGCTGAAGTCCTGAAGTTGTTCTTTCCCAGCCAGTGGGATGATTCTGTCAATCTGCCAGGAAAAGTTCAATTGGGAGGTGAAAACTATGTAAAAATCACATGTAAACTGTGAATAATAGCATATTGTTTGGCATGAGTTTAACATGTTTTATCTTAAAGCAGTGGTTTCCATTTGGAGAAAACTTTGTGTTAGTTTTTATTACAAGTCATCTTTTTGTGTCAAAAATGTAAGATTGACTAACTCAAAATTTAATTTATTTTTAAAAGGCAAAATTGCGATGTCATATTCTCTTAACCCCCCCCCCCCCCCTAGAGTCATCACTAAAGTCCAAATCCCTAATCTCACAAGTATGATATCATTTATGGACAACCTATTAATCCATTTTAACCAGGTTTTTGAGATAGCCACTGATTTACTGGGCTAATATGGGGAAGCCACTGGTAACTGACTTACTGAGGCTAACATGTGAAAGCTTGAAGTGAGTAAACCTTACCTGGCCATCATCTTCCTCCAAAGCGAACCAGCGGTTGGCAATAAAAACCTGCTTGACATCGGTCTGCAGGTCTCTGACTGTGATGTAGTTGAGGAACCAGGAGCCAAACTTGCCCTTACCACTGTTGTCATGCCACACCCTCATGTAGTTGATGCGGCCCAAACACCTGTGGAACATTGCGACTAAATAATGATGGCTTTTATTTAATCGTTGAACATTGGGACTGAATAATGATGGCTGTTTTTAATGGTTGAACATTGGGACTAAATAATGATGGGTTTTATTTAATCGTTGAACATTGGGACTGAATAATGGCTGTTTTTAATGGTTGAACATTGGGACTAAATAATGATGGCTTTTATTTAATCGTTGAACATTGGGACTGAATAATGATGGCTGTTTTTAATGGGGTTAGAAGAGGATTCAAAACTGTATGTCACTTTTGCGCTACACTTATTTTCAAAAAATATATAGTGACTTATGTTCTTAGGTGAGTGGCTTATAATATAAGTTAGTACATTTTTGTTATCCACCGATTGTTAATAACATAATGATAAAAAAGCTAGTGTTATAAAAAAAAGATATTTAACAGTATTCTTACTCTGGAGTAGCCATGAGAAAACCATTGGTCATTCCTTTTTTAAAAATTGGTCTTTTTGTGTCAGTGAATACCCTCACATCTGATTCCTCATCTTCTCCAGAGAGTATAAAGAAAACCTGAAAATAAAAATAGTTTTAGAACAGCATGACAGCACCCTGCCTTATTTACTTAATGTTATCCATTCTTCCTATTTAAAAAACAATTTTCTACTTCTTTTTGTAATGTTAAATAATGAGTGACATAATTAAAAAGAAATAAGACGTGATCAGACCTTGGAGTCTGTGCCTGCGTTTCTTCTCATGCCCGTGGATACAATGATCTCATAGTAGTACTTGTCCCTAGGGTCATTGTCTGCTAGAGGGGCCAGTCCAAGCTGAAATTTTTGTTTGTTTAGGTCAGTAGGTGGTCAAATAATAACCATTTAAAAAACTGGGCAGTTATTGGTTATATTAAAGCAATTTAGAAAACCTTAATTAAAGAAGACTTCAGTTTTGTGGTTATCATTATTTTATTGTTATTACATAAAACAGACTACATAATTGTCTATGAAAATAACACTACCTCTTTAAATTTAAAAACAAAAATGTTTGTCCAAAAACCAAATAACTAACCAAGCTCATGTCTCTCTTGTCCTTGCGTCGAGCCAAGAAGAATGCGATGGAGAAGATGACAGCGATGAATATCTCCGTCAGGTACAAGGTTGGGTTGGAGAGGAAGTCAGCGTGGGCGAAGACGTAGTTCCAGTCTATGACATTGGGCACCACAATGAACCCCCCAGCAAACGTGGTCAAGTGGTTGCACAGGCAAACTGTTTTCTCTTGGCTTGACTCACTGCTCACCTGAAATTTTTGCCAGAAATCTTAAGACGAAATCAGAGGTTATAAAGACAGGTCATGTACGTTTTCAGACTAGATAAAGAGGAGTTTATTTGTCTCTCTGACCTCTGCATATAAACAGTGTAGTCAGCAATATGTTATGCAGATTTATTTTTCCCTACTTGAGTCAGGACCCATAAGAGGTGAAAACACTAAAGGACAGTGCAGGGACAAAACTGTATTTTTGTGTAAAAAATGGCGCACTCTTATTCTTAACCACACCACCCCAAGCTCATATAATACAAGTAGTTACATTTCTCTTAGGGACGGAGTGGCCTAGCGGTAGAGAGCTGGACTGCTAACCCGTAAGTCTCGAGTTCGAATCCGGGTTCAAGTCAGCGGACCACCCCTGGGTTCACCCAACTCTGATGGGTATTTAACTCATGTTAGAGTAAGTAAAGGTGGCTAGACAAAGTGCTGACCACACTATCCCTTCATATGCCGAGGTCACAGAAACAAGTGACCCATAGACTGTCAGGTTTGAAAGAGAACTTTACTTTTACTTACATTTCTCTTACATTTTAAATTTGAAACTAGGATGCATCTTTAAAATTTTATTGACCGAGTAAAACAGTCAAACTTTTTGTGTTAAACAATTAAATTCTTACAACACATCCTTTGTTGCTCCAGTCTGAAGCATTCACAGTGTGGAAGAAACATCCGCTAGTCCAGATAGTTAAGTTGTAATCATTAATAAACTCCCCGGCTCCTTTCTTGTATCTCTCCACAATTTCTTGATTGGTCGGTGCCGGTGTGTTCCTGTAGGTGGCGTTTCTCTCTCTGGTGCCAATATACCACTTCCCTTTTCTTCCTGCTACAGCTACATTGTCAATCAAGATGGTGTAAGGGTCTTTGAGTTTAGGGCCTGTAGTAGAAAAAAAGTCATAGCTTGTTTTATACACGGCTATTACAAATTTATATAGATGGAGGTAGGATTATCAGAAGAAAGAAGTTATTTTATATACAGCTATTACATATTTATATAGATGGAGGTAGGGTTATGAGAAGATATATTTTATTTTAAGCAGCAATCAAAATCTACATCATTATTATCTTTTCCGATTTGTGTCCAAGACACATGAGACAGGTGATGTGGAGTTCATTGGTTTCAAATACCTAAACAACATGGGGATAGTGTGGTCAGCACTATGCCCAGCGCCCTTAGTTTCCCTAACATGAGTTAGGTACCCATCAGAGCTGGGTGAACTCAGGGACAACCTGCAGACTCAAGCCCTGGATCCAAACAAGAATTTCTGACAGTCAAAAGTTCTACTTTCCAAACAAACTATCCCTTATATTTATATATACAGAACCATATTTGAAAGTTCACAACAGGCCCAAGGTTGCTACGCCTCTGATATAAAGAATATATGATACAAATATATATTATTTTGATAATCTTAAATGAAATGTTGAAATAAAACCAACTTACTGGGAGGGACAGTTGGTGGGACAACAAATATAAAGTCTGTGAGATTGTTGGCTGGGTCTGGTACCTCTCCATATCTCACCACTACCAGCAATTGTGTCCCTGCAGCAAGCTAAACAAGAGGAGAGAGGAGCTCAGGAGAGAGAATACAATTTTTATACAGATGCTGAACAAGAGGAGAGAGAGGAGCTCAGGGGAGAGAATACAATTTTTATACAGATGCTGAACAAGAGGAGAGAGAGGAGCTCAGGGGAGAGAATACAGTTTTCATACAGATGCTGAACAAGAGGAGAGAGAGGAGCTCAGGGGAGAGAATACAATTTTTATACAGATGCTCAAGTTAGGAAATCCTTTACATTAATCCAAAAACAGAGGATATACTAAAAAGAAAAGGTTATGTTGTAGCAAAGTAAAAATGGTTGTATAGGGCTACTTAAAGAATCACTCAAAGAAACCTGGAAATGTAATTGTATGGGAAACCCATGAGATAAAGAGGTAACCCAATTCCTACAGATTGGTGACCTGATTCACACCAGAGAGGTGACCTAATGCCTACCAGTGAGGTGACCTAATTCCTACCAGTGAGGTAACCCAATTCCTATAGATAGGTGACCTAATTCCTACCAGTGAGGTAACCCAATTCCTACAGATAGGTGACCTGATTCACACCGTCAATGTGACCTAATACCTACCTGGAAACGTAAGTGTATGGATGAGCCATGAGATTTGGTCTCCGTCTGATGTAGCTGGAACAGATTCCATCCAGTGACAATACCTCTGATGGGTTTTATCCCACCACGTGGTCCTTGGCTGTCATGGGGGATGGTGATCCTGAAAATTTAATACAGGTACTTATAATTGTTAGACTTGACCACAGTTCAGATGATCCTGAAATACAGGTACTTATAATTGTTAGACTAGACCACAGTTCAGATGATCCTGAAATACAGGTACTTATAATTGTTAGACATGACCACAGTTCAGATGATCCTGAAATACAGGTACTTATAATTGTTAGACTTGACCACAGTTCAGATGATCCTGAAATACAGGTACTTATAATTGTTAGACTTGACCACAGTTCAGATGATCCTGAAATACAGGTACTTATAATTGTTAGACTTGACCACAGTTCAGATGATCCTGAAATACAGGTACTTATAATTGTTAGACTTGACCACAGTTCAGATGATCCTGAAATACAGGTACTTATAATTGTTAGACTTGACCACAGTTCAGATGATCCTGAAATACAGGTACTTATAATTGTTAGACTTGACCACAGTTCAGATGATCCTGAAATACAGGTACTTATAATTGTTAGACTTGACCACAGTTCAGATGATCCTGAAATACAGGTACTTATAATTGTTAGACTTGACCACAGTTCAGATGATCCTGAAATACAGGTACTTATAATTGTTAGACTAGACCACACATAAAGTATCATAAAGCCTAGCTTGCATTAGCCATACCATATTAAATTCTATATCTATGTTTTTGTCATTTGGTTATCTTAAAAACAGATTTTACTTTCAAAAATAAAATTTATATATATACCTTTTTTTAAAGCACGAAGTATTAAGACTTTTAACAAAACAGAAAAAAAAAATTTATTCTTGAGAGGAAATGAAACTATTTTCTAAAACAGTAAAAACAAGCAATCTAAAAATCTACACTGACTGGAAAGTACATAATTAAAAAAAATTTTGTTACCACATACTTGATTGGTTTAGTTGTATTTTCTATTTTAAGAGGCTGACCACTGCTGTCATACAGCTCAATGTTGAGGAAATGTGTGTAGGAATAGATGCCCTCAAGGGCCACAGGAGTGTAGCGGTCAGGGTAGTTGGTGGTTTGAGAAAGCTGTTGATAAAATAAATAACAACTCTTTAAACCAACATGTTCAACCACACATGTTTTAAGTTTAATTCCATGATGTTAAAAAATCATGGAAAACATTTATTGTATGGACTAGATTTAAGGAAAATTTTGTCTTGTTAAGTAGGCCTACTTGAAACAAAATCTGGTTTTCTTACTTGAAACTATATATCAGGCTAATGTCTTAAGAATGGGCAGTGAAGTTAATCTTGTTTTAAAACCATAGAACCATGATATAGAGTATATTTACAACACCTAGATGCATGGGCTAACAAAAGCTCAGCTAATTTAACTAGATTTAGAAGCAGGCTACCTGAAAAGTGACAACTTGATTTTTCATGGCCTGGAAGTTGCTAGGAAACAAATCCGCAGTTGTGTTTGGGAAAAGGATGGTTGCGTCAGAGTTGGGAGGCTGGACGCTGGCCCCAGCAAACTTGCTGGCAAAGTTTTTCTGCATGGTGTACTTGAGCCTGCTGGTGGTAGAGTTCTGCCACTGGCCAGGTATGGCAAAACTGCTGAATAGTTTGGCCAGTTTCTGAAGCATGGCATCAGTCTGTTGGTTGATTGCTTTAACCTGCAAGGATATAAGCTACATTAATTCAAGAAAAAAAAAATTATTACTTAACGATGTTAAGTTAGAAAACACAAAGCTGCAAACATGAATGATAAATGTATAAATAAAGGAAAAAAAAACAAGCTAGATAATGTAGAGGGTTGACAGTATAAAATGGTTGACTTACTGTATCTGCATACACAGCTTTATGGACATTCCTTGTGTGATACTTCAGAGCCTCATCATCACTTCTGGCAGACTCCACATCTAAATCTTAAAGTAGGGATAGAAAGTGGGAGTAAGATGCTGGTCAATGTGGAATATGCTATGTTAACAGTTAAACTTAATGACATATTAGTGTTTTCATGCTTAAAATAAATATCAGTTAAGGTATTCATTAATAATAATAATATAATAAAATAACTATGCCAAATTTTACAATTTTTTGATAGCCTACTATTTTTTAAATTTAGCGTTTATTACTTAAAGGGCACAAAATATCATTCTTTAGACTACTGTTGACTACTTTGATTTAATAAACTTTACATTGTTAACAAAGATTTAAAACAAGGTCTATGATTTCACACAGAAGCAATTTTAGATCAAGCTGATAGATTGAGGTTTTGCTTTCATCACTTGCATGCTGTAGTGACTAACTTAGTTACATCTAGACAAATCTACTTGTAAGAAATTTAGAAAATTCGAAGCAAAATTGAAAGACTTATCAGTCCAATTTATACGGTAATTATGACATGTTTTGAGTATTTGAATAAAATAAAATAATTTACATGTATTATCAGTTCAATTTTTTAAAAACTTAGTCAGTATGAAGTGTTATTAAGTGCATAATGCATATTGAAGAGACTATAACCTACTTAAGGGATCCTCAGTGGCTGTGAGTGATGTGTCATACTTAAACCAGGATTTTTCTTTCTGAGTTGCTTTCAGTTCAGTTAATGTAGGGTAAAAACCATTAGAACCTGCAGCCTGAAAAACGAGACAATTCAGTTAGAGAAATATACTTAGACATTAGCATGTAAACTAAAAAAAAAACTGCAAATGTTTACTACCTCCATGACAGATCCCAATAAACTTCAAATGTTTACTACCTCCATGACAGATCCCAATGAACTTCAAATGTTTACTACCTCCATGACAGATCCCAATAAACTTCAAATGTTTACTACCTCCATGACAGATCCCAATAAACTTCAAATGTTTACTACCTCCATGACAGATCCCAATAAACTTCAAATGTTTACTACCTCCATGACAGATCCCAAAAAACTTCAAATGTTCACTACATCCATGACAGATCCCAATAAACTTCAAATGTTTACTACCTCCATGACAGATCCCAATAAACTTCAAATGTTTACTACCTCCATGACAGATCCCAAAAAACTTCAAATGTTCACTACATCCATGACAGATCCCAATAAACTTCAAATGTTTACTACCTCCATGAGAGATCCCAATAAACTTCAAATGTTTACTACCTCCATGACAGATCCCAAAAAACTTCAAATGTTCACTACATCCATGACAGATCCCAATAAACTTCAAATGTTTACTACCTCCATGACAGATCCCAATAAACTTCAAATGTTTACTACATCCATGACAGATCCCAATAAACTTCAAATGTTTACTACCTCCATGACAGATCCCAATAAACTTCAAATGTTCACTACATCCATAACAGATCCCAATAAACTTCAAATGTTTACTACCTCCATGACAGATCCCAATAAACTTCAAATGTTCACTACATCCATAACAGATCCCAATAAACTTCAAATGTTTACTACCTCCATGACAGATCCCAATGCTGAAAAGATGCTCCTCATGGCCTTCTCCTTGTCCTCTTGTGAAACAAAAGCCATCATTTTGTCGTCCATCAGATAATTCAGCATGGTATTTAGACGATCCATAACCAGACCCTGTATGAGAGAATAAACATAAAATATTTTACTTAGAACTGTACAACTGTTTAAGAATTTTTGCAAATGATTCAATTTTAGTTTAAAGAAGATAAAGCTTAGAATAATGGAAGTTTAGGAATGTTCATAGGAGGTATATAAAAGTTTATATTTTTAGGCTTGATATTTCTACTCATTTCATCATTTTAACTGATACTAATACTAAAATAGCAAAGAAGAATTGTAATATCAACAGAAATATCAATCAAATGGATACAAATCACAAAAATAATATGCAATATGATCAGAAAAGCAGATAAATCAAAAGTAATACTTGATTACTGGTAGGAAAATTGCTGAATCAACAGTACTGAAGAAAAGGGGCAAAATATTCTCTAAAGCAGCTTCAGTAGGTTCAGCTGTACAAACCTACCTGACACTCTACAGTAACTTCAGTAGGTTCAGCTGTACAAACCTACCTGACACTCTACAGTAACTTCAGTAGGTTCAGCTGTACAAACCTACCTGACACTCTACAGTAACTTCAGTAGGTTCAGCTGTACAAACCTACCTGACACTTTACAGTAACTTCAGTAGGTTCAGCTGTACAAACCTACCTGACACTCTACAGTAACTTCAGTAGGTTCAGCTGTACAAACCTACCTGACACTTTACAGTAACTTCAGTAGGTTCAGCTGTACAAACCTACCTGACACTTTACAGTAACTTCAGTAGGTTCAGCTGTACAAACCTACCTGACACTCTACAGTAACTTCAGTAGGTTCAGCTGTACAAACCTACCTGACACTTTACAGTAACTTCAGTAGGTTCAGCTGTACAAACCTACCTGACACTTTACAGTAACTTCAGTAGGTTCAGCTGTACAAACCTACCTGACACTCTACAGTAACTTCAGTAGGTTCTGCAGTAGCCTGGGCCAATAGACCAGCACATTGTTGTATTGAAATGGGATCTTTACATGACAAAGTTCCAGTTAGTTTAACAATATCTGTCCGAAGCTAAAAAGAGGAAATGGGAATCAATTCAATATTTTTTTATTGAGCTAAGCCTTAAGAGAATTTCTTAAAATTTAGCTTCATTTACAATGAAAAAAAATGAAAAAAAGCAAGGCAGGTTATTATATATTATATTACAGTAAAACTCATAAAGTTGAAATTTATTTAATATGTCTTGTTAAAACACCTTTTGCCCCAACTATTATGTGTGTCTTCATAAATTATAATCAAATTAATTTAATGTTAATTAAAGCTGTGTAAACATCTTACACAAAGAGACCATCTGCATACTAACCTTTGCCCTTTGATCTCTTAACTTGTCAAATTCATACTGTGTCACCATGCTTCTGTCTTCACTAACCTACAACATGTCACAAAATATTTGTTAATGAACACTTTGCAATGGGGTTCCATTACTGATACAATTACATTACATACTGGTATATATTAGAAGAAAAATATACTTGCAAAATTGAGTGCACATGTACATTTAGTAACCATGTCAAGTTAAAACAAGTAATGCTTATTTCAGCCAATGATATAGGAAATACACATGATGTCAAGGAAGTAAACTCAGGGTTGGGAGGAAATATGCACATTGCTTATTTCCTCTATTGTAGGTAGAAATAACTTATAAGCACTTAAGCTGAAAAAATCAATCCGTTTATTTTGTGATCAAATATATCTCACATTTTTATAAGCATTAGGCCTGTCAGCATCATTTGGACCATAGCCTGTGCATATCATGTTGCTTGGTACTTCAGAGCTAGAAAAGTCTGTTGATTATAACACACCAAAGTTATAAATACGTTGCAATCTTTATTATCCCTAAAGAAAAAAAATCTAAAAATTCATTCAATAATTTTTTATTTTACAGGGGACAAACTGAGTAATGTATTTTAAAATAAAAAAAGATTATATTTTTTGTAAAATATTCTCAAGTTATTTTTGTTGTCTGAAGCTAAACTACTACATATTTTTACTGCTTTAAAGCCTGGATTGTTTTTCAGCTACAACCAAAAAAATACCATGTTCGCTATCAACTCTCTATTCTGTGTAATGACTTAATAAATAATACTTAATTGTGTTGGAGTAAATCTCCAATATTACAATTGAGAATGAAGAAGAAGCCATGTTCACACTAAGCAAATCCAAGTACAGTGTAGGGTCACAAACACCACGTCACCTTTTTTACTGTCACTGGCGTCTTGGTTGAGTCCAGACAACACAGACGCTGCCATCTCCGTCACCATGCGCTGATCTCCTTCCTTGCAGACTTTAAAAAAGTTGGAGGTTGGATCAGCCAGGATTGAATTCATGTACTGTCTAATCAAGGCTTTGTCTGGTGGGAACACTGAGATTTTGGCCACACTGAAAATACCACAGCACATTATATCAATAGAATTCAACAAGTGTTATAGTAAAATAACATTAATTTTCAACAGAGATTAAAGTTAGATTTTAACTGAGCCTAGTGTATTAATAATTAATAAACAAATTGTTTATGTTAATTTTTTAATGAACTCTTATTACATAATTTATTGTGTAATAAGAGTTCATTAAATAATTAACATATATAAACAATGTGCATATTTTTAGACATACGTCACTGTTCTTGCAGCATTGAACATATCTTTAACAACAACCATAACCGTCTGTTTGTAGCCGTTGTAGCTGGGACCAATTGGTATTGAGACCTTCTGGTTGTTGATCACCCCGTATTCACTGGCTCCCATAGGAATTGACGTGATCTCCTTCTGTAAGTCATCTGGGTCTGTCATACCTGGATACAATGTATGACACCAGAAAACTCAAGCAATGGAGAGAGGGGCTTGTTTATGATTTAATCAAACAAAATTATGCAAAACTCATTGTGTTTGGTAGATGTGGGATTAAGTTTATATTAACAGACCAACAGTTCATTAAAGATCTGTGAAGTCTATTTCATGGGAAACCTGACAGTATTTTGAAATAACATAATTTTTAATTAAAGATGCACTTGGTTGATCGATATAACATTCTCATCACAAAGTTGTAGGTTTATAGTTTAAGAATCAAACTTAAGGGAATTTTAACAAAACAATCACAATTATATGAGTTACAAAACTAAAACTGTAAAAACTTTAAAATCACATAAATGTGGTATTAGGTTAAAGATTTTAAAAAATCAATATTATGGGGTTTTTTTACGACATTTTTAATTTTAAAATGACAACAACAAATCATTACGGTTAATGCTTTGCTTCTATTATAAATAAATGAAGAAACCTTACTGTAGAACTGAAATTCTTTAATCCCATTTTCATCATACCAGTCCCAACAGTTGATAAGCCACAGCTGAGAGGCATCTGGAGTGGCGGTGGCGTTGGCAGGCTCTATAGAACAGTTGCCTGGCCTGGGTGGCTTGTTGACGTAGAGACTGGTGGAGGTGCTGCTGTTGCCGGCCACATCCGCTATGCTGCACTGGGTGCGGAAAATTGTTGTCTCGTCGGAATAACGAGAGAAAAGAGTTTTCTCGATGGTAAACTGCTTTGAGACCAAACCTGAGGGGAGGTTAAAGAAATGGTCAGTTACAGTAAACACATGTTAACATTAACACATGACTTACAGTAACCAGGTGTTAACTTTATACTTCATATAGAACATTTGTGTTGTGTCAACCAGAAGTTAACATTACATATGCCTTTCAATACCTTAAACCAGTGGTTCTTAACCTTTTTGTAGGCAACCCCACCAGCAACTTCATCAGCACAAAACCCTTCTTAATAGGAAAAATAAAATGTCTTTTTCTCAAATTCAAATCATAGGTAGGCCTATATCGTTTACTGGTGTACAAAATGAACCGTGCATCAACATCACCATGTTCAAGGAAAAAATCCTTAACATGATTTTTGGACAAAAACAAAATACAATAATCAATATTTACTGAAAACCATTGCTGGGCTTCATATTGAATTCAGCCAGCCTTGTGCTCTTTTTTTCCAGCAGCTTAGGGAAATGTTCTCTCAGTTTTGTTGTGATATACTAGAACTATTATTGCTCAAACCATGCAGTTAGGATGCATACTCCCATCACGTTACACTATAGATGTAAATCCATATTGTACATTTTCATCTGACTTCTTCCTTTTTTTTTGCTCAACATAGTTAGTAGGGATTAAAATCATGACAGTAACAAGTCGACTACTGAGCCACAAGATAGAAATTAAACTTATGTTTATTACAGCATGTATATAAATGATCAGCATGTGCCTGACATGCTGTATAGGTGATATTGACATGATTCATGACCTATGTGTGTCTTGAGTTCAAGGATTTTATGATGTAGAAATATCACAATACCAATGTGTTATCTTGTTCGGGCACACTTTATTACTTTATTGTGATGCTGCACTATCATATCATAGTTTTATCATCCGAACCCATGACAACTGACTCACTGAAACCCCTGGGGTTCAATCAAAGCCAGGTTAAGAACCACTGCCTAAAAAAATGTTAATTAAAGTAAAATTGTTATAAATTAAATAGGGCCACAAGTTAATGCACACAAAAAATACATTAAAAATGTGTATTATTTCAGTAGTGTTTGTGCTGTAAGTCTATTAAGCAATGGTGCAAAATAAATGCTTATGAAAGTAAGTAAAAGTACTTTTAAAAACTCAACATTAAATAAAAGAAATTAAAAAATGAAGGTGACATATACAACTATTTATATATATATATATATATATATATATATATATATATATATATATATATATATATATATATATATATATATATATATATATAAATAGTTGTATATGTATATATATATATATATGTATATATATATATATATATATATATATATATATATATATATATATATATATATATATATATATATATATATATATATATATATATATATATATATATATATATATATATATATATATATATTGTTCTAATCTATATTTATAAGACTGTTCCATCGCTAAGACAAAATAAATTATAAAGCTAGTAGAATTAAAGAAATGCTAATTGTATATCTGTAATCTTTCTCTGTGTATCTATATATTTTTGGGGTAATATCAAAAAGCAACCAAGCAATGCACCAAAAACGTGCACAGGGGTACTTTTAACATTAATAACTTATAGACATTAGCAAAGAATGATTACATGTTTTATGTAACATAATAAAACACTCTGCCAAATATGAGGAAATGAAAAAATTAGTAAAATGAGTTTGTATTATTGCATTTTTCGTTTGCACAGTTTTTGGTTGTATATTTGTTCATAGCACATGTGTTTTTAATAAAAAGAACATTGATGATAACAAACTTTTAAATATACTCTGAAAAGAAAATAATTTTCTCAAAATATAATAATGCACCACCATTTAAAAAACATAACATAAAATTTGATACACTGCAAATATTTTAAATTGTGCACCTTATGTGCACCTTGTGCTAAACATTGCTGTTCTAGTATCAAAATGTATTTAAATCTACATAACATTTCTGTTAATCTTTTTGCGCCTCACCACACAATTTGGAAACCGCTGTTACAGGCAAAGAAAATTTTTTTTTCAATACATGAAATAAGCTGTCAAACTTAAAGTTTGCTACTGAAAGAAAACTCATGACTAATCTGCAAATGAAATCACAATAGCTTCCAGTGTTTCATGTTAAAAAATTCTACACTAATAAATTTGTGGCAAAAAGTGCATGACAATATAAAATAAATAGAAGATAGTGTTAGTAAGTTATGTTAGTCCTTACCATCAGCATCTGATAACAGAGATAAGCACAAGTAGAAAATAACAAATAAAACAAAGAATAAAATGTGAAGGGTGTTCAAATTGGGACTTTGCAGCAGTCTGTGGTTGTTAGTAGGTTTATATTATTATAACAGTTAGTGGTTGTTAGTAGGTTTATATCATAAAAACAGTAAGCGATTGTTAGTAGGTTTATGCATATTATAACAGTAAGTGGTTATTATAAGTAGGCTTATATTATTATATCAATAAATGGTTATTAGTAGGTTTATACATATTATGATAACAGTAAGTGGTTGTAAGTAGGTTTATACATATAATAATGGTCAGTGGATGTTAATAGGTATAAATTAGTATATCAAATTAGAAACTTAAACAAGAATACAAAGAAATAATTATTTTTATACTTAAATTTGTCCATTCTTACATGTTTCTATTTTGTGAAATTGTTTCAAAATGTTTTTCTTACAGATAGTGGAACATCACTCCAGTTGTCACTACACTTTGGTCTATTTGCTTACATGACTTTGGAGTCATAAACAGTCATAAGCAATAGGACCTACTACACACTTAAACTGTCATGACTTCAGCCATTAAATAGGCAGGATTTTTTAAATATTTATTGGTTAGTATGTTAGACATGTAATGATTTAATATTTAAAGGAACTAAAAACCATAAAATAATTAGAAGATTAATAGAAAACTGTAAAAAAAAATGCCTAGGTTTTATTATAATTTCTAAAAAAAAAGACATTATTATTATTAGAAACAATTTTTTTTAAGTAAAAATCATGAAAGATAAAAGTTAGTTCATAGCTATACAATTTTGTAAAAAAATAAAGGTAAAATGTTAGATTTTGATAATTTTAAAAAATATATTAATATCATTGTTAGTTACAATTGCAGGAATTAGTCTAGCAGATGGTGTGGCAACAGTTTGACAACTTACTAATGCTGTGTTCAATAACTTCAATATCCTTAAGTGGCCTCCAGCCATCATTCCAGCGATAGTCCTCAATGAACACTGACCATTTGTAGGCTGCTGTCAAGTTACATGTGGGACACTGGCAATCTAGGGAAACTCTGCCAGACTCCAGGATAGTGTAGCCCCCTGTTCTTGGGTAACAGACACTGCCTTCTGTACATCTGTAATTAGATTTAAATCATTAAAAAATGTAGTTAGCTTTTTTAAAACTGACAGTCCATTCGGCAGGTCAAGTAGAGTTCTTCTTTATGCTAAAATGCAATGTTTAAAAAGGATTTCTTCCAACACAATTAAGTATTACATATCAACCTGCTTTGCACCATATAAGGAGTTGACTCCTATTTCAGCTTGCTTTTCTTTTTGAATTTGCTTCCATAGCTTTTGTCAATCCAAGAACAAACTACATTTTGGTGCTTTACCGACCACCCCACACCTACCCCTTGTTTTCCCTAATGTGGGTTAGGTGCCCATCAGAGCAGGGTGGACTCAGGGACCTAATACAAACTCGAATCCACGGTCTGTTGAGCACTCTACTGCCCCATAGATTAAAATAATACTAACAAAAAATTGTAATGTGTAAACCTACATTTAAATCATTCTAAAAAAATTTAATTTGTAAATTATCAAATATGAAAACTTACAATAAGCTCCTTATGCTTTTTTACTTTCTTTATTAATTGAATACAATGCCAAAGTGAAAATAGTCCAAAACACAATTCAGAAAACTCTTGTTAACTCAGCAATATTTTAAAAATGTAACAAGAATGTAATAAATGATAAATATTACCTGATGACAGGGATGGGTGGATTTGTTCCATTTATAACCACAGAAATAACAGCCAGTGCAGTGCGGGTATCTTTAGTGAGAGTAGCTTCCAGTCTATAGGTGTACCCCTGAATTAGGGCTGACCCAGCAACATTCTGCGTCTGAGCTGTTGTGCTAAACTTGTTGCAGGTTGTCTGGTCACCATTTGTAGTAACAACCGTACATGTCCATTTAGAAAGGCTTAGACCCTAATTGCCATAAACAACAAGATAATTATTTAATCATTTTTTTCCACCTTAATGCAGGTTATAAATAAATTAAATATTTAGTTGTTTTTTCATTAATTCTAAATTTTTAGACTGCATTTTAATTTCAAGGACTACATTGGAAATAAGAGTAGAAACAAAAAATTTAGTTAAGCTGAGTAAAGAAAAAATAAGAACATTTTACAATGTATTTCTTCATATTCTAATTGTTACTCAAATAACAATATCAATATTTCTAAAGTAATAGCCAAGCATAAAAAATTTTAATTGCTGAAAGTGATAGACTACCTGAACAGCCCCCACATCCTCATCAGGGTCAAATGACCACTTCAATGGTTCAAGTGTGACCATTTGCTTGGAGCCTCTTGTAATCTCCGACATACCACCATCCGTCATTATAGCAACTAAATCTGATTTCCCCACCTAAAAACACAACTTTAGTTGTACTAAGATGTTATTTCAAATTTCCTATTTATTTAACTTAATATTTAAAGAAAAATCAAAACAAAAATAAATATTAACATCAAATTAAATAAGCTTAAAAGTGAAGCATATATCCTCAGTTAGAGGCTTAGTGTTTCTAATTTACCAAAAAAGCAATTGAAAAACCTGATAACAGTTGCTTGAAAGCTACAACCTTATATCCACTAACATTGAATTAAAGCTGTAACATTATACCCATTGACCATTGAATTAAAGCTGTAACATTATACCCACTGACCACCAAATTAAAGCTGTAACATTATACCCACTGACCACTGAATTAAAGCTGTAACATTATACCCACTGACCACTGAATTAAAGATTTAACATTATACCCACAGACCACTGAATTAAAGATTTAATATTATACCCACTGACCACTGAGATAAAACTAACATTATACCCACTGACCACTTAATTAAAGCTGTAACATTATACCCACTGACCACTTAATTAAAGCTGTAACATTATACCCACTGACCACTGAATTAAAGCTGTAAGTGTAACATTATTATCAAGTGCCTCACCTGAAAGTAAGTATAGGCTGAATTGTTGAATATTGTATTTGGTCCAGCCTCACCATCCAACATGACCATGGTGTAGATAGCCTTGTAGAAGCCAATCTTTAAAAATTTGGCAGGGATGTACAACTCTCCTTTATCTGTATCCAGCCCAGTCATGTCTATGCTGGCGATAGTCTGTCCTGTTGTGCTGTCAACAGATTCCAATCTCCATGACTAAAACAAAATAAATAAACATTTTAAATACATTTTTCTTTAATTAATCTAATTTTAATAATTAAACAGTTGGTGAGAGTCTGTCCTGTACTGCTGTCTTTAATAAATCTAATTTCAACAACAGTTTTCATAAATTATTTATCTATTCATTAATTATTATTTTAAAAATATAAAAATAATTATTAAAAAAAACACTTAAAATCCAACAAAAATAGTTTCAAGGAATTAATTTTTCGGTAATGATTCTAACAAAATAAAATTCAACAGTTTAAATCAACAAACATTGTTTTTGGAGTTAATTTCTTTAAACAATTTTACAAAATAATGTAAAAATTAACTAAAATAATAATGAGGATTCAATTATAAACTAACAGAAGCAAACCATAAAAATTTAAAAAATAACCAAACGAGTACACATGATATAGGTCCTACCTTTGTATTGTCAACAGCATTAGGACATGAAATTACAGCCATGCCTCTAAGACGTATGATGGAGCTACGTAAGTATTTGGTTGCCTTATAAGCTAAAGTTTGAGCAAGGTCAATGTAAACAAATGGCTTTGAACATTTGATGTTTGATATTGTAAATGTGATTTCCTGATAATCTTGTCCATAAGCATTGGTAGCTGTGGCCTTCATGGTATACACACCTGGGAATAAGTTTCAAGCAGTAAATATAAATAAAATATAAAAAAAATATATATAAATAAATTAATTAATTAATTTAAAAAAAAAAAAAAAATGTATATGTTTATATATATATATGTGTATATATATATATATATATATATATATATATATATATATATATATATATATATATATATATATATATATATATATATATATATATATATATATATATATATATATATAATACATAGTTCTTGGTGATACCTAGAAATCTTAGATATTCTCTTCTCACTTCTAGGGCTCAGATCTGTCAACATTAAATGTTTATACCTCACTGTCTAAAGGCAGCATAAGACTGACTTTAATACCCAGAGAAGTCTTTCTTTCAAATCAAATACTAACATCGTGGTGTGTCTTGGCCAATGAATGTTTGGTGGCACCCAGCCCTCTACACCCTTGCCCACAGCTGATTTCCTCTAGTACAGTGGCTGCAGAGGTTTTGGACACCTGGTATAATAACTAGCTAAGTCATAAGCTTAGCGATGTCATGCCAACATCACCCTTGACATAGCTGAGGCTAGGGTATGGCGCAAGGAGCCACATGTGATTGTCGAGGTGGATGAATTATCATAAGGACGTAGCATAAATATAAAGAAAACGAGAAAAATGGCCCGTTGAGGAAGGATACAACGGGCGCTAGGCTGATAGTGCTGTCTCTTTTCTCTAAACTAAAACCACCCCAACCCCCCCCCCCCCCACACCACCCCCCCCCCCACCTCCCCCCCCCCCCCCCAAAAAAAACATGTCTACCGTCCCATTCAACGAAATATAATTATATACTTTTTCCAGTGTCCGCCCCCTCCCTGAAAATTCTACCCCCGCCCCCGAAAATTTCAAGTACCCCCACCCCTCTCCGGGGAGGAAAAAGTCTGAAAGAAACACTGGTGTCGCGCTTAGCCACTACCCGAAGAATTGCATTAAAGAAATTGCAAGAAAACCACTTTTTAGATTAGAAACATTAATTAGGCGGTAATTTTATTATAGAGTATCGATGAAGAAATTTCTTTTGAGTTAGGGAGGGGGGGGGGGGGGGCTCAGACGTTCTTACACGGGGGTGGGGCTTCGCCCCTACCCGAAGAATTGTATGAAAGAAACTCTTCACGCAAACCACTTAGATTAGACAAAATTTCCTTTATATTCAATGTTTACTCGAGAATCAATGACATCATATTACTGTGTGCACTCTCCGGCTTGAGATTATTTACTACTCTATGCTAAATGTGACGACGTCATACTTGGTTTTTCGAATTACTATGCATGTTTTTAATTTGCTTGTGTTTTCTCTAGAGCGTTCTTGTCAGATAGATAGACAGACAGCGAAACTATTAGTATTAATGTATTTAATTGAGATAATGATGTTAGTTTACCTTCAGCATAGTAGGTATTTCCAATAAGCTGTGTGGTTAATAACCCCATGTCCCCTTCTGCTTTAGCTGAAGCAAAGTTAGTATCTGTGCAAGTATTTATGTTGTTTCCAAACTTAGAAGATTTCCCTGAGACACCCCAGTCAATGTAGACACAAGTGTCTTGGCCATAATCAGTGAATGTAAACTATAAATAGATGTAACATTTTTCTATGTATTAATTATCTTACAGTGAGAATATATTTTGGGAGTTGCAAACCTTGACTCTAGTTTAATATTCCTCTAAAATAGTTGAAATTTAAGAAAAAACCTTAATTTTAAATATACCAATATAAGAATATTTTGCAAGATAAAAACTAGCTAAATGTACAAACTTATTTTCTTACATTAAAGTTCTTTGACTGGCCAGGGGCTACATCCTTTTTCTCTTCTTTGATTGTCATTGACCTAACCCTTTTGACCATTTGAATAGTTACAGAAACAGTTTTGCTGAATAACGGGTTTTTGGCAGTTACTGCAAGTGTGTAATTTCCAACCTACAAAAATAAATAAACTTGAAATGTTTTTAAATGTATAATTTTCAGCTAAAATTGAATTCATTTCTATAAAATTGATAACAATTTATATTGCCATATGGCAGGAAACAGATTGGTACCGCAAAATGCATATTCGGTCTTCGCCGTTCATAAACTTTCTAACCAGACATCGTTCGGGGATTTTGTTTATACTGATAAATAGAGCAAGGTTTTTACAAGCTTCGTTAGCAACATTTTTGTGGAATTCGTTTTTTATGACATTTTGTGCCGCGGCGAAGGATGCGAAGTATGCAAATCTAGACGGAATGGATCTACTTGGAAAGTACGTGTACTGCACTAATGAGGTAAGAAATAATATTTTGTAAAAATAACTATTATTTTTTTATGGATTTTTCATTAGAAATGATTGCTGTAAATTATGAAAGTAAAAAAAAGTATATTTGAATGCGTTTTTTACTTTAATTTGAACAAAATGACTGCCGAAAATTACGACACATCGGCGTCGCTGAAAGCGGGAATTTCAGTTAATTTTTTACGGATATAAAATTGTATTTTTTTTACTCCGAAGCATGTATTTAAATAACAGTTAAGTTAAATCTATTTAATTCTGTAAAATATAATTATTATTTTGCCGTAGATACTTTTTTTTTATATTTTTAATGATTTTCTGTCGCGGAAAATCGGTATTCGCACCATGCACGCACACGTAGTAAAACTAGACTTATCTTTAAAACACGAGAATCTTGAGTACACTGCGAATAACAAAGTTTTTAAATTTTAGTTTACTTTTGACTTTAAGCCATTTGTTTTAAATCGAAATTAATTGATAATGTAATTATTTCAAAGTAAAAATTTTCCGTCGCAAATTGGCTTCTAACCTTCGCCACTGAACCAGCCTACGCACGACATTCGCGCGAGTCTGTTTCTTCGCAATAGTCTGTATAGTGTCGAGGGCTAATTCTAAAAAGAACCGAGTCCTTACTAATCTAATGTTTATTAAAATTAGGTACAATTGTTGGAACGCATGAGAAATAACAAATTAATATTTCTTTAAATCTATAGCCAAAAGAAAGTAGAACTTTATAACTCTGTAAATTATGAATCGAGTGACGGCTGTCGTGAAAACGGGAGCCATTTTACTCTTTTTTTTAGGGTGACCTACTTTTATTATATAATTTTAAAATTCATCGATTTGATAAGCAGCTGAGTAGCTGACTACGCATGCGATATGGCTGGCACGTTTTGGGATGGGGATCGAGTACACCATAGAATTTTTTTTCTTTGAACTAAGCGTATTTTTTTTTTAAATCAAAAGATACTTACATATCAGTTGTTGATTTCAATTTCATTATAGATCTAATCACTAACTTCAGTTTTTAAAAGTAATTTTGCTTCTAGAACTAGCGTATTTTCAAAATTACGTAGATTCTAAATCTAGATCTATTCACTTACTATTTGACAACCGTGTCAGTAAAATGAGGTCACCGCTTCCAGGTTCTTAGGTTTTAATTATGTTTGTCACTTTGAACTATTATAAGTAGCATTAAAACAACTGCATCTATTATCAACATTGTTTTTATATGCCAGTTCTAATTATACATTCTGTTCATTACCAATTCTAATGAAATCGTATCAGGCCCTAACACCCTGTTCACCTACACTGACACTACACTTGCAGCCGATCCTACACTATTCTCAACGAGACTGTCGTTGAGTGGCTTATCAACAGTGTCGGTATATAATAACGCTATAGATTTTTTCTCATTTGATTCTGTCGTTGAGACTCTAATTATAGTTATAAACTGTAAAAACTAGCTAACGGAATAAAACCATTTCGATTAATTAATCGCTTAAAATATTTAATATAAGAAAAATTAAACAACCATTCATTTTACAGAGCTAATAATAATTAATATTATAAAAAATGTATCTTCTGTCTTTAAAATTGAAAAGTAAATTATTTTAGCAATATAAATTAATACAGTGGATTGCTGAATTTAATTGTGATCATAGTTATGATTAATAATTTTAGAGATTGTATGATTAATTTATACACAATTTAGAATTACAGAATATTGATTATTCTGTATAGAAAACATTAGGGTAGAGATTACTAAACGATATAATATAGGATTATGTAATATAGAATATATTAGTATATTATTATAGAATCTAGGCTATACAACAAGTAATACATGATATGATTGCAAAATAGAAAAAATACATAATATAAAGGCCCATTTTTTAATCGAATTTAAGACTCATTTCGTTTACAATATGTTATTACAAATATAAAATTGCAGAATACGTAATAGCTATTTTTATCGAATTTATACATAGAATGTGCTATATAATTTTAAGAACATGATTATGTAGTGGCGTAGGTACAAGGTGTGCCAAGGGGCTATACCCCCCCCCCCCCCCCGATATATATATATATATATATATATATATATATATATATATATATATATATATATATATATATATATATATATATATATATACATATACATATTTACTGTACTCAAGTAGTACCCCTAACCAGAGGCGTCACAAGGTTGGGGGGGGGGGGGGGGGGGGGCGGGGCTGAGGACTGCGCAAGGTGGCAAAATTTCGGGGGTGACACCATGGCGAAAAATAGCAAAATATATAGAAGAAGTAAGCATTTTGCCAGTTCAATAAATGACTAATGAGAGTTAACTGTACTAATAACTGACTGCAGATAAAAAAATATATACAATTAACTGTGCACGTTTAAAAACTATCATTCAGGGGGGGGGGGGGGGGGGTGAGGGGAGATGACACAAACTGCAAAATGTACAGGTGAATACATGCTTGTGGAATTTTTGGATAACAGATTTGCTAAGCGACGACCGGAGAGAGGCTGATCCCAAAATCTAATAATTTACAATGAAAACGATGCTTTTTTTCACATGAATTAATAGGTGGATTATGAGCAAAATTTGACGCCATTGGAGAAAATGGGAAGTCACCAAATGTAGCAATATATATATATATATATATATATATATATATATATATATATATATATATATATATGCATATGTAGAATTATTTATATTTCTCTCTATGTATATATATAATGAAGTTTTGCTTGTTTGTTTGTGGGTTTGTTTATGTCCTCTATGCAGCACTACACCTTTCATCCTATGGCCATGCAACTTAAGTTAAGAATACCACTGGATATATTTCACAAGCACGGTGCCCCAGCAGGGCGCGAATCGATTCTATATATAGATCCCTATATAGGGTATATATACGTAAAAGTAGATTGCGGTTTAATCCCGTTCATCCGCTCGCCATAAAACTTCAGGGGAGGTTATTTTTTTTTTATTTTAACAGGGCGGCGCTTCTGGAGGGTGCAATTTTTCTCTACACAGTTTGTAAAAAACAAAACGGATGCTGTTTGACATCGTTTATCTGAGTACCGTTAAACTTTCGAGAGTTAATAAAAACACTCACGAGAAGGTTTCTGCGAAAACAAAAATTAAAATTTATTATGGGCTTTTCCCTGGAGGGTGCGATTTTTGTTAATAAACGGCTTGGCGCCTGAAAATCCAGGGCGGCGATATTAAAACTGCATGGGGGCTAAGGTAAAAAAGCAACAACAGGCGCAGCCGCCGGCGCCCCGGATATTACGTAACCCGAAGCGCCCCGTGCTACCATGTGAACACTATGACGCCTACGTTCGTGTTTTTTTTTTAATTTATACACTAAAGACACGATGGGCAACAATAATTTTTGACTATATGGAATCAGGCGCGTCTGCCGGCTCCCCGGCAGGAAGCGATTTGGCGCCCTGAGATATCCTAAGGTTGTGTTAAAGAGCACTCTACAATATTGACCCTGTGGCACACGACATTCGATGACAATTCGTTTGACCCGGTGCGCCCCTGGCTTCGGGAGGAACACTATGAGTTTTAAAAGAGCGCCCTACAGTAGGGAAATTTTTTGTCTACTGCACCACTGGCGTGTGGTCTAGCGCCTCTGTGTGGGTCCCTCATAAACACTATTGCGCCTACGTTCGTTTTAAAGAGTGCGATACATTATGGATACAATGGGCTACTGTGTGCGGTAGAATTTGCGCCTCAACAACTATGATGAAAGCAATATAACACCGGCTTTGATTACATTTAAATTGTTTAGATTTAGAAATCAATGTCAAGCGTAAAAAAATACGTGATTGCTAATGTAATTATGGAATCCTCTTAAAATATTGCGTCAGTCTGTCTTCTGAGACCGCAGCAACGCGCGGGACGGGTACGCTGGTTTAATATATATTTCTTCTATATAAATAATTCTCTTCATGGATACCATAGAAAACACCAAGCTGTAAGCGCCACTAGCAGCCCCCTCTCTTTCTCTCTATCCCTACCAACCCCATCCCTACATGGTCTGGTGAGCTGTGGTTCAAGCTAAATGTTTACAATCGTAGAGCCGGGTTTAGTGACAGCTATTAGGGGCAGATAATTTAGTTTGAAACGATTTTAAACTTAGTGGAGGTAACTCAGAGGGGGCTGCTTTCACGAGGAGGGGGGGGGTAGGATTTTTGGGAAAGGAGGGTGGGGAGGGGGGGGGGGGGGTTATCGTCCTTAACGAGCTACTGATAGTGTTTTAAAGCAAATATTTTCAGTGGCAGCATTGTTACTGTCAAATTCACAAATTATGAATTACTGAAAAGTAGAAAATGAAACAACAAAATAGCGGCGTATGATAGCGGCTCGTAAAATATAAAACACAATGTAAATACCTTTGTTATACCTACGGAAAATAATAATATGTAACATGGATTCCTGAAATTTTGCGCTGCTTTAATTTTTAACGTTGGGATCCTCCATCAACATCCATACTCTCCTTTAGTATGTTCAGGCTTTTTTTTTTTCATTTATGGGAAGGGATGATCGGAAAGTGTGACGACACATTTTTGCTTTCATCCGTTATTTCGGGCTTTAAAAGATTGCTTTTGGTATTAATTCATTTATTAACTCAATGTTTATCGAGGTCAGTACATATTATAATAAACCGGGAGTGATCTCCCCTAAACTTTCTCGAATATTCTAATATAACACTACGGGGAGTGGCAACTCGGGATATAGACATGATTTTTAATCCATTTTAAATACTTAAACTTTTTAAAATAGAATAAAACCTCGTAGAAAAAAGAATTGCACACCAAGTGAACGTCAAATAAAGATGTGCATAATAGTGCGCAACATTATTTGTACTTTATAAATTTACGTGCGTTTTTTGAGAAATCGGAAATAGCGTAAATTAGTACTTCCTGTCAACGGAAATTACTCAAAATTTGACAGAAGGTAGCGAATTAGATCTTTTACTTACATGTGAAATTTCATTTATCTATCTGCAATAGTTATAGGCTTTTGAAAAATTCAAAGTAGAAAAAGTACCACTTTCGGTTATCGGAAATCACTCAAAAGTTTATACGGATCTATGATTTTGATAAAATACTTATATATGAAATTTCATCAACCTAGCTGTAACGGTACTCAAGTAATCGTGTTTACACACAGACACACACAGACACAGACATACGGACAAGATTGCAAAATTATGTTTTTCCGTATCAGTGAGGTGTAAAACGTCGAGATTTGTAAAAAATCTCGATTTTTTTTTTTGCACGATTACAAGACTTTCTCTATACTTCGTATATACGAGAAAGTAAAAATGGAGTTTCAGGGGAACGGCGGAGGGGGTTATGTGTTGAGGTGTAGTGTTTTTAAAGAGAGTGGTGGAGGGGGGGGGGGGGGGGGAAGCGAAGATCTGGCTTTTTGTGAAAATTTGTTACAATTAGAGAGGGGGGTTTGGTGCAAAATCGTCTGAAGAGTGAGTCGTGGTTAATGGGTGACCACTTTATGATTGTATATTGACGTCACCATCATTTTGGGCGGTGGCTTTATGTGACGATATGTAACGAGAAAAAAGAGGGTTGAGTTAATGGCGTAGCATTTATTTTGCATTTTTTAAGGATACAAATAATAAAAACACTGCTTATTTTGTTTTACATGTGTGACGACATTGTGTTAACCAAATGTATTGAATAGTAGGACTTACAGATTATTAGTTCTCTCCCCCCCTGAAGCAATTACCCCCTGTCATTTACCCCCCGCCAAGGAGGACATCTCCCCCCCCCCCACGCACACACCTCCTAAGGTACAGCTGGGGTTAGGGTTATGGTTAGGGTTACGGCTAGGGTTAGGGTTTGGGTTAGCGTTAGGGCTAGGGTTAGAGTTAGGGTTAGCGTTCTGGCTAAGGTTAAGATTATGGTTAGGGTTACGGCTAGGGTTAGGATTAGGGTTAGCGTTAGGGCTAGAGTTAGGGCTAGAGTTAGAGTTTGGGCTAGGGCTAGCGTTTGTGCTAAGGTTATGGTTATGGTTAGCGTTAGAGTTAGGGCTAGGGTTAGAGTTAGGGCTAGAGTTAGGGTTAGCGTTCGGGCTAAGGTTAGGGTTAGCGTTAGGGCTAAGGTTAGGGCTAGGGTTAGATTCAGAATTAGAGTTAGTGTTATGGTCAGGGTTAGGATTAAGGCTAGGATTAGGGTTAGTGTTATGGTCAAGGTTAGGCTGAAACCTAAGTCTAGAGTTGGTTTTGGTTATGTGTTAAGTTTTAGGCTGAGGTGAATGCTTAGGGTTTGGTCATTTTTTTATCGATTAGGATTAAGGAAATACATAGGTATAGAGTTTGAGTTAGGATCATAACTTGAGGCCGGGGGGGGGGGGGGGGAAATTCTCCAGGGGGGTTATTGACAAGGGGTAATTGCCCCGGGGGGTAAATACGGGAGGGGGGGGGGTCTCCTCCGGGGGGGGGGTAATTGACGGGGTGGGGGGTAATGTCATGTAGCCAGGTCCACTATTAGAAAGCCAAGATTCCAAACTGTGTAGCCTTATGTATGTAGGTAATCTAATCTCATACAAGTTCTTGAAAGCAACATCAAAGACGAGAAATAAAAAGAGCCATCGTTGTCGGCTTATTTAACAGGGAAGTCTTAGTCTAAATCAATCCACGACAATGTCTTTAAGACAATAAACCTTAACTTTGCTTGAAATAACAATATCGTTCTTCATTCAGTCAAACTCAACATTATGGCTTCACTGAACTTTGTCATTGAAATGCATGTGTAGTTTGAAATGTGTGTCTGTTAAAATTGTACAGTTGATACCGAATATATCCAGCCTTTTTCTTCTTCGTTCAGCTGCTTTTCTTTCTGGATTTCTTTTCTTATCTTTTGACAATCCAAGAACAAGTGTTGTATCCCCAAGATAGGTTGCTATCCCCAACTATAGAGCCTCATCTACACGGGAGATTGAACTCAGGACTTCTCGGTTTAGCAACCACGAACTTTACAAGTTCTTGATTTTGGTATTGGCGTGTCAGTTTTCTTCTTTATTTAGTCGACATCTAAAGTTAAACAAAAACAGTTGCCTACCTCAGCAAAAATCAATGTAGGCCAATTATGGCCAGTGTAGCAATTAGCAACATCAAAGTTGATTTGAATTCCATGCAACACTCATTCCATACTTCTCTAGTGTGGAGGTCTTGCTTATTAATATTATCCTGTTTGTTTGATACTTTTCTTTAACCTAATAATATTAACCATAGACACTTTTTGCCTGGAGTACAAACTGGGTCACAGTATTCTCTGGTAAACAATTAAGTTCTTTTCCAAATATATGCTCAGCTAATAGAAACAGCATTCCTAGATTATTATTATTTTTTTTTTTTTTAAAGGGCTTCAGCTGTTTTAATGTCAACTTGTGCTGGGAATACTATAACTACATACAACCCTTTTCAGCTTTCAATCACTTGCATCTTATGTACAAAGTATGAAAACCAAAAACATCAAATTTTGAGAAATAATTTATTTATCAAACCTGACAATTGCATATAATTATAAAGCCAAACATTAATATATCATGATTATTGCAATTATCACCATTTGCAGATTCTTGTTTAACTATGGTAGATGGAAGTATTAGTTGCCTTTTACATCACTTTTCACTTCCTGAAACAAAACAAAATGATTTTCTTAATCATCCATCTGAAATAATAAAATTAGCAAAAAAAAAAAAAATCTTTAGTTTAAATTAGTTTAATACATCAAAACAAAACAAGAAAAAAGTGATTGAATGAGATGAATCATGGCATAGATATCTATAAAATTTTGCTTTAGTGATAAAGGGGGAAAAATTTAAGTTATTTTAAGTGAAACATAAGCTAGAGAAATAAACTATTAGGCCTAATTTAAATAATTTAATTCCTTTCTCCCAAAACACTACATGTATCCTTAAAAAAAGAAAACTTAAAATTTATCAATATTTACCTTGTGTATAAACTCTTCTGTACATCTACTGTATCAGCTTGACGCTCATTAGGTATGCCTAGTTCCTGTTGAGCAGTTAAGACAGATTAAGTAAATAATTCAAATTTGTAAGACAAACCACTAAATGATACTGTTATATATATATATATATATATATATATATATATATATATATATATATATATATATATATATATATATATATATATATATATATATATATATATCCTTCCTGCAAATCAGCATATTTTGCAAAACAAATATTTAAAAATATACATAATGATATTGTATCAATCATCACCACTGACTTGGTTTTACTAGGTAAAATATTTTTTTAAATACAATATTTATACAAATAAAAATCTATCTCAATCAACATGTTCAAAATAAACCAAAGCAAACTTGTGATAACTTACCTGATTAATGTTTGAGAGGATTCACCCAGTTCTCGCCACTGAAGCAGATTAGATGCATGTGTTATTACACTTGTGATATACTGATTGCCATTTTGTGTACTTTTAGTCCTGGAGATCTATGTTGTAGGCATAGACTGTTAAACCTGGATAGTAATATTATAGAAGTAAATTATATCTAGTATAATATAAATATTTTAAAATATAAATGACACTAAATTATATTTATCATTATTGGAAATAAAAATGGTACAATTAAGTTATAAAAAAACAAATAATAAAATTTAAAGCAGCTTATTAATAATTGTCATACCTTTTCCTACTTTTATGTCAAATGTAAGAGGTAATAGAGAAAGAACATCTTGTGTCATTTAGTATGCTGTAGTCTTATTACTGGTAAAAATCAGATCTTCCCTTTTTTTTGGATGAACCTGTAAAAGAGAAATTACAACATGGATAAACACAATGAATATCATATCTAATCCTCAACTAGTTATCACCCCAATCCTAACCTCATTTTTTAAAACCAATTTCTAAATATGTTTTCAGAACAAATGTATGTTAAGTCTACCTATTTTAATGTTCAGAATACTAATATTTATCAAAACTACCTCCAGTTGAAATTCAAGATACCTTTATAAAAATTTATTATGACTTTAACTTTGTGTAGTTGTTATTTAGGCTATTTGTTTAATTTATATTATTTAAATTAATATTTCATGCCTTGTTTTAAAAAGATCTACAAGTCTACTTTTGATTTTATGGTATAATCTGATAAAAATTAGGCTGCTACATCTGAAAACTAAGGTCAATGCAAAGACTTCCAAATTAACAATAAGTAGGCTTGTATAGATATTGTATATAATTACTAGCCCAATAGTATTACTCTACGACCAATGTATAAGACTTAATGTATCACACATAATTCCTATAATTAGGCCTACTAATTATTAAATAATTAATAGATCTAACAGTAGGATAATTACAATTATGGGCCTTAGCTGACATAGAGAGCTGAATACTTAACTAAACATTTTTAAAAATTATAGTAAGCTAAGTGAGTTGAATTATTTTATTTAGATAGGCCTAGGCTATAATATACTCTATAGCAGTCTATAGTGATAGTCGCAGAGTAGCGTATATCATAATAATTTCAAATTAAATCTATAAGCAACAATAAGCCTCTGCCTTGTTGCCTAATTAAAAACTAAAGCCTATTAAGCCTTTTCCTAATAAGCCTTTGGCCTAATTTAAATAACAGCCTATAGGCCCTATAATATATAAATAGGCTAAACTACTTGTAAGACCTAATAGACTAATGACTAAGAGAGTGCTAGGCCCCTTTCCGATATTATATAATAATTGCTTGATCGATATCATAATATCTAACACTCAGTAACACTGATTACATTAATTTACATAAGGCTATACCATCTTAACTATGACTAATACTTTTTCTACTAATAAAATAGGCTATCTCTAGTTTAAACTTAGGCCTAATAGTAATTAGTAATTATAATTAAGTAGGCCATTTTATGACATTTATAAAATTTTTAGTAGATGGCCGAGCCTTAAATTTAAATACTAAAATAGATTTAGCATACTATGCCTATTGTTGGTCTAATTAATAATTTATTTTTCATTTAGAATTTTAGATCTCCAAAAGATAGGCCTAGGTCCTAAATAAATTATTTTTATTTTATTGAGCCCGCCTTAATGTATAAGATGTGATCTGTTTTTTTAATAAAAATAACCCTACACAATACTAGTGATTTAACTAATATCTAGTACTACTTTAGGCCTATTTAATTATTTATTAGTAGGCTGAATAAAATCTAAAGCTATAAGGCCTACTTTATTACTATATTTGCCTATTATTCTATAATTAATTTATGTTTCTTTCAATACATAGTAGATCCTGTGGTACCTCAACATTCTAGTGCCTCGACATACCAGATTTTTTAAATACGAGCAGTTGAGCGAGTAATATTTCGCTTTGAGTTACGCGCAAAATTTGAGATACCATATTTCACAGTTCATGTAAAAGAAATACCCCCAAAAAGATGCAAATGATTATTTATCGCAGCTATTTAAATATAATAATAAGCGTCTTACTCATATTTGCAGCATTATGAAAGGGAGAAAGAAATAAACTTCCTAAACAAGTTTTATTTTAAGCTACCAGCACATGAAAGTGACTTAAATTAAGCATGGCAAAAAAGAAGAGAAAAGCTGTCACGAAAATTAAGCTAACGTAATAATTTTATTTAGTATTTATTTAGGCCTTACGTTTAAGTCTTAAGTGCAACAATGCTCAGTGAATTTTAGCCATTAATGGCATTAAGTTTAGGAATGATGTGTACTTGTGTAGCTTTAACTTTAGTATATTTTTAGACCTAAGCCTAATCTTGTAGATATAGATTATTATAGATCTACAAACAATTTGAAATAGAAGAGATTTAAAATTGAGTAGATCTAGATCCTAAATGCTAAAGAACAGCTATGCCACAGAAATAATTATCTTTCTATCTAGTCAATCTAGACTAGATCTAGTCTAGATCTAGCTAGTAGCTAGTGCCGTGCTACTGAAAAATTACTAGATTTTCTAGATCTAGATTCTATCATTTACTTTCGACGCACTAGGCATACTTTTAACTTTTTCTCTCTAGTCAATAATGTAGATTTCTAGATCTAGATCTAAATGTAAATCCTGATCTTGTAGATTTGATTTACGTAGGTTTTACATCAGTGTAAATCGTTGATCAAGTAGATCTAGTCTAGATCTGGACTAGCTCTCGTCAAAACAAAATGGCTGGAATATTAGCTTCAAAACACCTACAGTTTATGCTTTCCTAAATGTGGAGAGCATGTTTAATTATTGTTTTATTTTCAACGACAGTGTTGACTGAGAAACCACCAAAGGGTTTTATTCTCAGCGACACAGTCGGAGAGAGGCTCAACGATTCTGTCGTTGAGATGATCCGCATGGGGTGACACTTGAATGACGCCACAGACAGTCGTAACTTTAAATTAATGTTCAAAGTACTAAACAATTATAATTAGCCATGTAAATGCTGCAACTATATTAAAAATTGGCATATAGACATATTTTATTAATTATGTTTTTTATATAGTCTAGACCTTCTATATTTAACTCTGTTATTTTTTTCTTCCCCAGAGTGTTTCTAAAAGCCAGAATTTTAAAGGGGAGGGCGGTCGTTTTTTTTCTCAAGAATAATTATAGAAATAAGCTATAAACTGGTATATTTTGTAAAGTTTGACATAATTACAAATAAATGTATGCCTAAGTAAAATTTCTGTGTAATTATATCGTTAATTTTGTGAATTTCGTGGATTTTTGGACCTCACTACATTTAGATGTAAAAAAAAATCTCAGTTGAGTGAGTGTGGTTAATCTACATTTTGAACGTGATGTAAATGTCTAGTGCTATTAATTTTTATATTTTTGAATTCCTCGATTGTTAAGCAACAAAATCGATATATAATATGTCAATATTTGTTACTTTGAAAATTGGCGAAAATCGACCCTAAAAGTAGATGCTTGAGGGTTGAATCTGTTTCCTGCCATATGCAGTTCAAACAGTTTTCACTAAATTTCTGTTTTCATTGACAAGACTATCATAAAAAATATATAGGATCTAGATTCTAGATCTATCTTACTGCAGTAAAGTTGTAGTCAAATCCGTTGAAAGTTGAATTGCTGAAAACACTAACTGGTCCTGATGTTGATACAATGCTGTACAGTGTTGCTAAAGCTAAAACAAAAATGGTTGATAAAATTCCTTGAAATCATTATCTTTTTAACAATGAAGGTTGTAAATCTTTTTTTTCTAAAACATCTAGAGATCTATAGCTTCGATTGAATTAAAGTTTCAAGCTGCCAAGTTATAACGCTATGATTATGGTCTAATATGGGAGGGTTTCTAGTTTCTACTGAACCTTTGTGGTGGGGAGTGACCGGTGACACCATTAGGTGCCGCACCGGATGACACCCGACCTAACGACCCCACTGAAAATTAAGCAATGGCAGTAGATCTAGAATAATATATTTTTTTGCTATTGAAATGACCCATTTCAAACTTCATAACAATAGCATTAACAGTTCAGTTTTATCTTTATTACTTTATTTATACTAGATCTAGATCTAGGTCTAGATAGATACTTTATACTTTTATCTCTGCCATTGAACTTCTACATTTTAAATTTTAAGCAAATGAGATCAAGAAACTTCTTTAGTAATTTAAGGCATTGTAAGGATGAAATTATTAAAATTACCATTATTGTCATCTGAGAGAGTAAACTTGATAGGGGCATCTAGTGGGTAAATCACGCCGAGACCATTGATTCCATTTTTCTCGGCAGGAAGAGCAGACGGTTGGTACTCTGTGTACGTGACCTTGGCTTTTAGATTAACAAAGTCTTGATATACACCAACCTATGGTTTAAAAAAAAAGACATTTTAAATTTAAACACAAAATAATACGTGAAAATGCGTTGTTTATTTAGAAAAGGTTTTCTTCAAATGATAAGATTAATTAGGGGTCGTCCAAATGCGCGGGGGAGGGATCATATTGTGGTGATGAGGGAGAGGGGGGTATGTTTTGGGTCAACCCTTTGTATCCCTAGCAGCTAGGGATACAAAGGGTTGACTCAAATTATCGTCCCTAGACTTGACCCTCAGCAGTCTACAAATTTGAAGTTGAACCGATGCAGTACTTTTTGTGGAAAATAAAAAGTTATCTACCCTTGCACCTACCAAACGAAACAAAGTTGTCACAAATTTTACATAGATGTAGGCCTATATATTATTTTTACTAGTAGATCTACGTTTGTAACAACATTGTAGGCTTACTATTACCGGAAAATAATATATAGTTCTATGTCAAAAATACGGTTTATTAATAGTTAGTCTTCTTCTTCGTTCTTAATTGAGAATATGGTGGAGGATTCAGACAACAAGTCCAACTTCGTGAACAAACCGGACTGTGGTCTCCAGTTTGGCAGGTGCCCCATATAATTTTCGATGAAAAACGTGGGGCGCCGTGATTTTCTTACAGTTTTTAATACTGTTGACTCTCTACAAGCTCCCTAATAAAACTCAATAGTATCATCTAATCAATAGTAATATAACTTTTACATCTTATCAGAGGCGTATCCAGGTTTTCGTTGTAGGGGGAGCGGAAATAGCAAAAAAAAGGCGCCGAATATGTAATATTTTCTATATAAGTATATATATATATATATATATATATATATATATATATATATATATATATATATATATATATATATATATATATATATATTAGCTGTATGTTATTGCTTCGATATGATGTAAAATAAATTTAAATAAGCACTCTGAAGAAAAAAAACACACAATGTAGGCCGACGAAACAAAAAAATATGGTATCACTCTAAAAAAAAAAAAATATATATATATATACATATATATATATATATATATATATATATATATATATATATATATATATATATATATATATAAACACTGCAACCAAAAAATAATGAACGCGGCATAATCTGTTTCGTAATTTTTGTAAAAAAATTATATAATTATTCCTGGGACATCTAAGACTATAGAAAAGGGGAAATAATCAATATCTTAATATAAATATGTATATGTCTACACATTTTATTATAAATATCAAAACAAATCAATAATTACTTTAGAATCTAATAAAGTAGTTTAACACTATTCGTTTTTACAAAAATTATTTGTCTAAAATCAGAATTAAATATATTGTCATTATAAATGCTAAAGTATTACAGCATAATGAAAGTTTTTTAAATCAGAGTTGTTATAAAAGCCAGCTTTTCATTTTCCATGTTACACGTTCTGAATAATAGCTTACATATAACAATAATATCGCTCTTACATTTTCAAATCATGCAATTTTTTTAAATTGCTTCTGACAATTTGTGTTTTTTTAAAGATAATTTTTTAACATATTGAGAAGGTAAGGGTTAGATCACTGTATTGCTCACACACCATTTACTGGTAATTGAAAAAACAATATTCACAGAGATTTACGTTTCAAATGTGCCGACCAAAGATAATTTTTTAACAAATATCAATGTTAAAAACTATGAGTTTAAAAAGTTTCCAAAAAGGCGCCACTTTGCTAAAAATGGCCAGAGGGGGAGCGGCCGCTCCCCCCTGCGTACGCTACTGCATCTTATATTAACAATGACCGATAAAAAACTTTTACTTCGGCGCCCCACGTTTTTCATCGCTTATAGTAGAGTGATCGCTTGCATTATTGTGATGTATAGCATTTATTTTCTACTTTTTAGTTCAATCAGAAAACGTGGGTTTTTTTAAAAACTTTTTTAATGATAATTATTTATGCATGTGTTGATTTAGTCTGTTATGGCCTGTTCTAAGTCGAAAGATTGTGTATTGTAGTTTTCGTGTTAAATTATAATAGCCATCATCTTTATTGTAGTGAGGGTGTGTGTCAGACCACATTTGCGTTTGTTTGTTTTTTATTATTCTTTTTATTTCTTTTGGGTGTAGCGAGATTTCCTGTTGTGGTTTCTTTCCCCCAATTTTTGCCAGCTGGTCTGCAATCTCGTTACCCTGGATCTGGCAGTGGCCCGGGATCCACTGCAGCACTATTCTGCTGCAGGTATTTATTAGCCTTTCTAGTGCTGTCCTAAGTGTTTGAGTATAGGACTCTGGATTTTTTAGGGATTGCAGGACAGAATTGGCATCTGTAAGAAATACTATCTGACTATTTGGAGATTCATGGTGTTCTGACAGGAGGTTTGCTGCATGCTCTAAAGCTTATTTTTCTGCCCTAAAATTGTCGGATAGGCTGCCTGTGGCTATTGACTTTTCCAGGCTTTCTCCGCTTGGCCATTCAATAAGGACGCCAGCCCCGCCATTTTTTGTGGCATCTTCAGCTGAGCCTTCTGTGAATACTCTAATCCAAGTATTGCTGGGGTACTGATCCTTAATGTGCTTATTTGTTATTTTCTTTAGTTCTTCTTGATCATAGTCAGATTTTTTTTTCTATGGTGTCTATTGAGTCAATAATGGTTAAATGACAGTGGGAGATCCAAGGCGGGGAGAGGTTTTGAGTTTTTATTGCTTCAGGAATGATATTTTCGATTTCATATTTCTTTTTTAGATTCTTTGCTTCTTTGATGAAACTTGTTCTTTGGAGTCTGTTTGATGGACTGGGCTTCTGGAGTTTGTGTTTTAGATTATGGTTTTCCAGTGCCTCTAGCTTTGTGTATTGAGTGAGGATTTTTTATTCTCTTCTTTCTTCTATTGAGCTAAGTGCGGCTATTTCCTCCATTGCTTTTATAGGCGTTGTTTTCATGGCTCCTGTCATTATTTAATAGTTAGTGAAACCAATACATTCCGCTAAGATGTTCGACAAAAATGACGTCACACAACAAAGACAGGTCTGATGTTGTGCAATCGAGTACAGTGGCGTAGGTGAGGGGGGTACCCCCCCCCCCATGCACCCCTCTGGGGAAAAAAGTATTGTCTTAATACCACTGTTACTTATTTAAATCTATTTCTGAATCAGTATACATGTATAACTGAATATGTATGTTTAGAACAGTCACCTAAAAACTGACGCTACGTTCACTCTGAGTTGCCCCCCCCCCCCCACATCACCACCACAATTGTGTAGTGCGACATTATATCAAATACGCTGGGTAGGATAATTGGCCTAAAGTGACCGGACAGTGGTGAATGAAGTTGAACTCTCCCCCCCCCCCCCCCTCCCCAGCCAACCCACCCGAACTGATCTGTTAAGTACATTTGGGGAAACGTGTAATTAGGTACCAAAGTACCATATTTTTTAAACTTAATACTCTGTGAATATTGTTTTTTGCAATTACCAGTAAAAAGGTGTGTGAGCAATACAATTATCTAACCCATTATGTTAAAAATTATCTTTAAAGAACACAAAACGCAGTAGCTAATTAAAAAATGTATGATTTAACTGCAAGACGAATATTTTAGTTATATGTAAGTAATTATTCCGAAAGGTTTTCTTTTGTAGCGAAGCGTGGTTTTACTTTATACCAACTCTAATTTCAAATACTTCAATATGCTGTAACAATTTAGCATTTATGATGACATTATATTTGATTCTGATTGTAAGCAATATGTTTTTGTAAAAAACAAATAGTGCTAAGCTACTTTATTACATTCTAAAGTAATTATTGATTTTTTCTTACATGTATAATTAAATGTGTAGACATATACATATTTAAATTAAGAGAGTGATTATTTCCCCTATTTCGCTTGTTTTAATTAATATCTCAGGAATCATTATGTCAAATTGTTTTTTTTTACAAGGATTACAAAACATTGTGTTGCATTTTATCACTCTAATATATATATATATATATATATATATATATATATATATATATATATATATATATATATATATATATATATATATATATATATATATTAGAGTGATAAAATGTTTTGTTTTGTCGGCCTACATTGCTTAGTTGTTCTTAATTCTTCAGAGTACTACTTTAAATTTTTTTTTACATCATAGTGAAGCAATGACATACAGGTAGTATATATATATATATATATATATATATATATATATATATATATATATATATATATATATATATATATATATATATATATATATATATATATATATATATATAATGGGGGGGGGGAATTGAACACACCCCCAATTAGACGATCCTGGCTACGCCACTGATCGAGTATTGATTGGGCGATATTGCTACGCAGAGTGGCCACCCCTGCCTTTAAGAAAATATTACCTAATTCCATGTGGCGCCACCTACCGGCGCTTTCTTAGCAATACGGCCCGCGATATTGCTACGCAGAGTGCCCCCCCCCCCCCTGCCTTAAAAAAAAAAAGAAAATATTACCTAATTCCCTGTGGCGCCACCTACCGGCGCTTTCTTAGCAATACTGCCCAATTTTAAACATGATTGCAGCAAATCTTTCTAGTAGGCTATCATTCCAAACTAAGTGATAAAAGACATACTCTGGCCTAACACCATCTCAAATGATAAATTACTAGGAGATATATAAATTTAAAGCTTCAGAAATACTTGAAAAAAAAAGAAGATGGAGATGGATGGGACAAGTCCTAAGAATGCATCCATAAGACATCGCTAAACTGGACGCGTGAATAAAAAAGAAAGCAGGAAGGCCAATGGAGACGTCAGTAGCGTAGCGAGGGGGGGGGGGGACACATATGTCCGAGGGCGCCGACCTTAGGGGGCGCCAAAATGGGTTGGAAAAATAAATTGAAAGGTCGAGGGGGGTGCAAATCGAAAGTTTGAAGGGGCGAGTGCAAATCGAAATCTTGAGGGGGGGGGGGGTGCAAATCGAAAAGTTTGTCCCAGGGCGCCGGGAAGGGTCGCTACGCCTCTGGGAGACGTAGAGGCGCACGGCGGGGAAGCAGAAATGGATTTTCGCCCCAAAACTAGTGAAGTAGTGGGCCTATAGTTTTTTTTTTTTTCTGTTTTTTTTTTTTTAGTTTCGCTGATGAGGGAGTCACCCATAAACGACGTCACGCGTTTGAAAACAATTTATCACCCCTCCCCCCCTTGACACTGTCACACATCGTCACAATAACCCTCCCCCCCCCCCCCCCCCTAAGAGTACCACCTCGTCTACGGACGACCCCTAATCGTTATAATATGTGGTTCTGTGTAAGGAACATTAACTGATGTACGTCAATATTTCAAAAAATAATATAGTTTTTTTTTAAAAATACATAAAGAGCTACCTGCACTGTTTTTTACAACTTTCGATGCTGTGTTCTCCACAGTGATGGTCGCCATGTAGCAGCCAGGTTTGGTGTAGGTTTGACTAATCTGCTGTGTTCCTCCCTTTGTGGTGATGGTGAATGAATAACTAGCACTACTTGAACTTCCGTCTCCAAAGTAATCAATTGTTATTGTCACAGAATTTGGGATGGTGCTCGAGTTGTAGGTCAGTATAAACACGGTGGGATCTGTGACAAAGGTAAGGGAACGCGTTGTTTGTCATGCAAGCTGACTAGTTCATAAGTTTTTATTTCCCACTCAGTCGCCTTGCCCACGGGTGAACTGGTTATGACCAAGAGGGAAATTTCAACCCGAGATAGAAATTTTCATTGTACATTTTCTATCCATGAATGAATGGTAAAAAAATCTAAAAGGACTGTTACAGCACTGTCAGCACTGTTCCTGGGGGTCCACCGAGATTTTTCCTGAGGTTTATCGGAATTTTCCCCGGTAGACCGACTGGCCAGTCCACACCGTCCGTTTACACCTACTAGTATCAGTAGTATAGGCGCGGGGGGGGGGGGGGTAGAAGAAGAGGGGTGTGCCATACCCCCATGGACACAGATGACTAACGTTAAGTTCATAATCTTTCTTCTTCTTCTTCTTCGTTCTTAATTATTAGTGTTGAAGGGGATCGAGATTTATCTGCCAGTGGGTTTGAACTCGAGACTTTGTTCGAATGTATCAACCATGAGCTTTTTGCCGACTCGACCACGCCTCCAACACAATTAAGCGTTACGTGTCAACTGTTTATGCGCCATTGAGGCCATTGACTCCGATTTCAGCCTGCTTTTCTTTTTGGATTTGCTTCCATAGCCTTTGTCCAACCAAGAACAAACTACAAGGCAACAAGAGTTGTCCCTCCTAGAAGAGTGGCTGTCCCCAGCTAACGAGCCTCATCTGCCCGAGGGTTCGAACTCGAGACTTTTCGGTTTAGCAACCATGAGCAACCCCAAGTTCATAATGATTATAATGTATTACTTCATAGCTTATACCTTTTATTTTAAGGTCGATAATTCAAAAATAGAGCATTTCAAGCCACCAGGTTAGTTTAAAAAGTTTTAAGTTATTTTAAGTACCAGGCCTAATCTGAGTACTCTGATTGATTCGTTTATCCCCATACTGTTGATGTTCTATGTATATGTTCTATGTATATCTCAGCGTATTTGTTTACTTACTCCCAAACGACACATCACCAGCCACAGTAATCACCAGGGCTGAAGGATCTATGGCGTTCACCACTTCCATAGTTTTTGTAGCAGATACCATCTGTCCTAAAGGTGCTCTGGCGATCACGGTGATTGTTTTAGATCCTGTGGTCGTGTAGATCACTGTTTGTGTGTCACCGGCATTTTTACCAACACCTAACCTAAAAAATTAATACATGTATATATATATATATATATATATATATATATATATATATATATATATATATATATATATATATATATATATATATATATATATATATATATATATATATATATATATATATATATATATATATATATATATATATATATATATATATATATATATATACTAGCCGTCCCGGCCAGGCCCTGCTCTGGCTTCTGTGAAAAACCTTTCTGTTAAAGACCATTACCTGTGTGTTTAGTAATCATCATAAAGCCGGCATTGCCCACCTAAACCACAACCAACCAAAACAGCAAAACGCAAACATAACGCTAACACAATTACAAATACAAACGAAAACAAAAACCTAACAACAAACCCAACCACAACCACAAACACCAATACAAACACAAAGAAAAAGAAAAAACAAACAAAAAAGCAAACGAAAACAAAAACCTAACAACAAACCCAACCACAAACACCAATACCAACACAAAAAAAAACGAAAAAGCAAACGAAAACAAACCAAATCCAAACGCAAAACCAACCAAAAACACAAATACAAACCCAAAGAAAAAAACACAAACAAAAACGAAAAAAGAAAGAACAAAAACGAACCAAATCAAAACGCAACCACTAACGCAAACCCACCTAAACACAAAGAAAACACTAACGCGAACATAAACGCCCGGGGCGGAATCACCTGTTTTAGCTTAATGAACGACTATAGTACCCCAACTTATTCATAGTCTTTTGCACTCACTTAAACGAACGCGCCTGTTTCAATTTAATGAACAATTATAATACTCCAAGCTTATCCGTAAAATACCTACAACATTTGCACTTGATCAATCCCCGCTAATTATGTAATTATTTTTTTTTCCCAACACCAAAACAAAGTAATTAAAAAGTAAATTATTTTCCACAAAATGCAATGTTTTTATAAAGGGAAGTAATTGTGTTTTCCTAATTTATCAAAGGGAAATAAGTGATATCGGACTAAATAAAGACATAATTAGAATTTTTGTAAAAGATGATATTTTTTTAAAACTTGTGTTTAATGAACATGCCGACAATTATTACTATAATTTGAAAAATGAAAATTATTTCCCAACACTTTCAATAGTAATTTTTTAGCTCATAAATTTAGACAAATGCGAACGATAATTTTCTAACACTTAAATCCATCCAAGACCAACGACAAACATATGCATTACATACAGAACTGAGCTTTATATATTAGATATATATATATATATATATATATATATATATATATATATATATATATATATATATATATATATGCTAGGCCCTAAAAATATATTTATTTATTTGTTTGTTTATTTATATATTTGTTTATTTATTTATTTGTATAGAGCTTGTACTGAATGAAAACAATCAAACAACTGACCCATTCTGTCAACAGTAAAAGAGCCATTGCCATCACCAAAGTCCCAGGTCAGGTTGGTCAGCTCCTGATTGTCGCCCCTGTACAGCGAGAAGGTGACGTTGAGCGGCTGGTTGAGTGGGGCGTCAGTGTACTGGGTGGTGATGGCTGGACCAACCAGCTTCTCCACCACGATAGCCTTGTGTTTGTAGACCTTTGACCCCATCATGTTGGACATGGTCACCGTGATCTCAAAGTCTAACGTGTCGTCCAGCTCGCGACTGGTGCAGGAAACAAAAGTTGAATGAAATGTCCACATCTGAGCAACGTAGTCATTTGTGTTCTTAATTATTTAAGTATGTCAAGTTCCCCTTACAAACCTGGCGGTCTATGAGGCAAGTGAAGTAAAGTTCATCAGCATATAAAAGGATAGTGATTCCCAGCCACCTTTACTTTTCCTAAATATGACTCAGGTACTCATCACTGCAGTCATCACAGCTGGGTGGACTCAGGGACGTCCTACGGTTTGAACCCGGACTTTCGGGTTAGCAGTCTAGATCTCTACCGCTAGGCCACGCTATCCTAAGTGTTCTTAATAACCCAACACTAAATTTTGTAATATTTTAGGAATATATAAACGTAGTCTTAACTTTTTAAATGGTTTATGAATTAGTATTTCACATTATGATTATTCACATTGGCAATCTTCTATCATCTGACTATTTAGCTGTGGTGTAGCTAGAGTGTAATGGGGAAGAGACGCAGATGGTCAGCCTATGTTGGTACTTTAGTTTTATCTGATAGATTTTATATTATACTATGCGGGGGGGGGGGGGGGGGGCGGATACTACGCCTCTCATTAACGGTCACATGTCTATCGCGGTCCAGTTATGACCATTAAGTAACGAGTGGGTTCAGATCAACCGCACTTACAGTTCCCTCTGGTAAAAAAATTACGTCAAATATAGAGATTTTAAAACTTCTCACCTATAGCCAGGGGCACCAACTCTAATGGCATTCTCCACGACCGGCTTGATCCCATCCCCCCAGTCTACGACAAGTGTGGGGTCTGTGGGGGAGGCGGGGCTGCTGGAGGTGAACTTGAAAGCCACCAGGGCGGGGGGCTCGTACAGGTAGTAGTTCCAGGGGTCAAGGTCCCAGCTGAAGGCACTGAAGCCCACTAGCACCAGCACGTCCACGGTGACGGTAAATGTACCTGTAAGGTGAGTAGACGTGTGTTACTTTAGTAGGGTACACGACGGTAAATGTACCTGTAAGGTGAGTAGACGTGTTACTTTAGTAGGGTACACGACGGTAAATGTACCTGTAAGGTGGGTAGACGTGTGTTACTTTAGTAGGGTACACGACGGTAAATGTACCTGTAAGGTGAGTAGACGTGTGCTACTTTAGTAGGGTACACGACGGTAAATGTACCTGTAAGGTGAGTAGACGTGTGCTACTTTAGTAGGGTACACGACGGTAAATGTACCTGTAAGGTGAGTAGACGTGTGTTACTTTAGTAGGGTACACGACGGTAAATGTACCTGTAAGGTGAGTAGACGTGTGTTACTTTAGTAGGGTACACGACGGTAAATGTACCTGTAAGCAGTAGCGTAGCGAGGGGGGGGCGGGGGGGGACATATGTCCCCGGGCGCCGACCTTAGGGGGGGCGCCAAATTAAAAGTTTGAGGGGGGTGCAAATGAAAAGTTCGAGGGGGGGGGTGCAAATCGAAAGTTTGAGGGGGGGGTGCAAATGAAAAGTTCGAGGGGGGGTGCACATCGAAAATTTGCTCCCGAGGGGGCGCCAAATTGAAAGTATGTCCCCGGGCGCCGGGAAGGGTCGCTACGCCTCTGATAAGATATGCCTCAATTCATGTCTAATTCAGGTTCAAGAGGCCATTCGTCATTCAGTTAAAGCAGGATTTAAACAGTAACTAGCAGTGTTTCTTCCAGACTTTTTTCTCCGGGGGGAGGGGGGCACTTGAAACTTTTGGGGGGGGGGCGGCGGACACTGTTAAAAGTATATATTTTCTATATAAATTTAATTTTTGCCTCCTTCGCCATATTCCTACTGGCACTTAGCCTGTACTAGTTTTTGATTAACACCACAGTACAATATTATGCACGTTTCAGATTGCGCACCACGATAAAACCTAATCACGCACAGTTCGTATCCAGTGCTAACCAACTGACAATTTACACATGGTCTAAATGGTGAAGCCGGCCATTTTGATCTTACAGAGGGAATTCTTTACAAACGGAGGGTTTTCTTATTGGAAGCTACAAGTTGAAGTGGTAAAAATAAACCTTAAATTAAGCACGATGATTAGCATTGTGGGTTTTATGTTTAAATACAATAATACATAGATCTAGATCTACTTCAGTAGCATATTGAAACTATGGTTATAAATAAACTTTGTAAAAAGGTTAGATGGGGAGGGGGGGGGGGGGGCGGACACTGGTAAAAGTATACATTTTCTATATAAATTCCATTTCGTTCGGGGGAGGGGGCGGTAGACTTTCTTCGCCGGTCAACTCATTAGTCAAACTAGCAGGGGGCTGGATAGTAAGTTAACTACAGAGTATTATATATGTTCAACGAATGTTTAAAGAATAGATGTTTTAAAATAAATTAAAATAATTGCACGTGGCCATTTAAAAAAAAATTGTAACAGATTACTTTTATTTTTTTGTTACGATGCTACATAATTGTGTCGTTAAAAAAGGCACATTGCCAGTGAGTGCCATAGTGGCATATCCAGACGCCTGTTATGGTTGTGCGAAACCAGGACATACACAACAAGACCTCACTTAGTGAGCCTTAGATCAAGATATGGGTGTAGCGATAATCTCCGTTACGTTCTTAATCTTGCAGAAATTGCAAGGTAAGATACCTTTTCGAACCTGGATCTCCATGGGCAGATGAAGCAGAGTTCGCCATTTTTTGTGACCTCGGCATATAAAGATATCATGTTGTCTACACCACGCCGAGACGCCTTTAACTTCCGTGACGTGAGTCAGGTACCCGCCAGAGCTGGGTGGACTCAGGGACGTCCTATGGACTCGAGTAAATGTTGTTGCTGCGGTTGTGTTGGTCACACATCAAGGGCGTTTCCTGAGACAGATCATGGGCGTGTCCTGAGACACATCAAGGGCGTGTCCTGAGACACATCAAGGGCGTGTCCTGAGACACATCAAGGGCGTTTCCTGAGACACATCAAGGGCGTGTCCTGAGACACATCAAGGGCGTGTACTGAGACACATCAAAGGCGTGTCCTGAGACACATCAATGGCGTGTCCTGAGACACATCAAGGGCGTGTCCTGAGACACATCAAGGGCGTGTACTGAGACACATCAAAGGGGTGTCTTGAGACACATCAAGGGCGTGTACTGAGACACATCTAGGGCGTGTCCTGAGACACATCAAGGGCGTGTCCTGAGACACATCAAGGGCGTGTCCTGAGACACATCAAGGGCGTGACCTGAGACACATCAAGGGCGTGTCCTGAGACACGTCAAGGGCGTCCTAACACAGCAAAACGGAGTTAAAGAATTGTCCAATCTAAAACTTACACAGTAACACATGAGAGTAAGGTGAAGCACGGATGCAAATTGATTCGCTTCAATTCACTTCACGTAATTTTGTGGCCCAAAGGGCTGCAGAAAATTGATGTATGAAGATAAATTTGCAACTTTATTAGTAATCTTCTTCTTCTTCGTTCTTAACTGTTATTTTTGTAGGGGATTTCCTCTGGCATTTTAAATTATTACGTCTCTATAAGTGATGCTTCATGTATATGTCCTAATATACTTCCATATCATTTGTCCCGTAGCCTTTGTCCACCCAAAAACAATCTATTAGGCAGCCATTTGATTAGTTTTGGAATTTCCTCTCCTAGATGGAGAGGAAAAATTCTTATAGTCCTCAGCTAACGAGCCTCATTTGTCGATATACATAATCCATCTAATGCATTTTTCAAGTGTTTTGTTTTCCTGCAGAGATCTCCTGTCAAGTCTATGATCAGCTGATGAGTGTAAAATTGAAACGATAATCTCGTGCAAATAAGAATGGGTTCTAGTGTGACAAAACTTTTCAGTAAACTGGAGGGTATCATAACAGGTAATGTTACAAATGATACAGACCAGTACGAGTAAATCTTATTTACCTGTAACTTATCGAGAGTGGACGCAACACCCTATTGGAATTTTCCGTCTTGTGGGGGACGGGGGGGGGGGGGGGAGACAGTAGCGTAGCGAGGGGGGCGGGGGGGGGGGGAAACATATGTCCCCGGGCGCCGACCTTAGGGGGGGGCGCCAAATTGAAAGTTTGATGGGGGGGTGCAAATGAAAAGTTCGAGGGGGGGGTGCAAATCGAAAGTTTGAGGGGGGGGGGGTGCAAATGAAAAGTTCGAGGGGGGGGTGCAAATCGAAAATTTGCTCCCAAGGGGGCGCCAAATTGAAAGTATGTCCCCGGGCGCCGGGAAGGGTCGCTACGCCTCTGCCTGTAAGGTGAGTAGACGTGTGCTACTTTAGTAGGGTACACAGTAGCGTACGCAGGGGGGAGCAGGGAGAGCGGCCGCTCCCCCTCTGGCCATTTTCAGCAAAGTGGCTCCTTTTTTGAAACTTTTTAAACTCAAAGTCTTAAACAATGATATTTGTTAAAAAAATATTTTTGGTCGGCACGTCTATGTAAATCACAAGATTTCTTTTCCCGCAGCAATTAAGCATTATTGTACTAGTCTAGTAGTGTCTACGTTTACAACACGTATTAACAGCTGCATCAGTTTGCCATTCTAAAAATAACCATTACGATGCATTGCAATGTTTAAAAAACCTCTACTGGCAGTACCACTTGGCAAGAGGGGTGTTAAGTTTAAGGCAACTGTATAATGTATTTGCTTACTAATAATTGAATTAGAAAATGTTATACATAAAACTTCACACATAATTACTTTATATATACAGTTTGAATCGTGTGATTAATTTAAAAAAATTACAATACAGAAACAAATACAACTGATGTGGCACCTCTATTTAAATTTACTTATCAGCAAACTGCGTAGTGGTGGGGAAATTTCGACAAGGCCAACCACGTCATCACGATGAAGTAGTAGTATTCTTACAATTTGGGCGATAGTGATTACGATTACAAATTATATGAAACAGTTACAACCTTCTTACAATTTGGGCGATAGTGATTACGATTACAAATTATATGAAACAGTTACAACCCCCCTCCCCCATGGACCACTCTGTAAAAAAATATTGTCATAATACCACTGTTACTTATTTAAATCTATTTCTGTAATATATATTTGTGTAATATATATATTTGTGTGATATATTTGTATGTTAAGAACAGTCATCTAAAAACTGACGCTATGTTCACTCTGAGTAGGTTATCTCCACCCCCCCCCCCCCCCACACACACACACCTCAACACCACAATGGTGTAAAGCGACATTAATGTCACACCTAGGTATACACTGGGTTGGATAATTGACCTAATGTGACCGGACAGTAGTGAATGAAGTTGAACTCACCCCCCCCCCCAACCCACCCCGAACTGATCTGTTAAGTACATGTAGAAAAACGCGTAATGATGTACCAAAGTAGCATACCATGCCGCCAGAAAATTAGCTTTTTAAACGTAAAACTCTGTGAATATTGTTTTTGCAATTACCAGTAAAAAGGTGTGTGAGCAATACAGTGATCTAACCCATACCTATCACTATGTTAAAAATGATCTTTAAAGAGCACAAAGAAGCAGTAGTTAATTTAAAATATATGATCTGAACTAAAAGACCAATATTTAGATAAATGTAGGCTGTTGTTCCGAGTGTTTTTCTATTATATCGAAAAGCGTGGTTTTATACCAACTGTGATTTTAAAAACTGTCATTATACTGTGATACTTTAGCATTTATGATGACGATGTATTAAATTCTGATTATAGACAAAAACATTTTGTAAATACGAATAGTGTTAAACAATTTCATTATATTCTAAAGTAATTATTTATTTATTTTGACATTTATAATTAAATGTGTAGATATATACATATTTATATTAAGAGAGTGATTATTTCACTTGTCTTAAATAATTTCCCAGGAATTATTATGTTAGAAATTTTTTTACAAGAATTACAAAACAGATTATGTTACGTTCATTTTTGGTTGTAGTGTGTATATATATATATATATATATATATATATATATATATATATATATATATATATATATATATATATATATATATATATTGTTTAGATTGTTACTATTTTTGTTTTGTCGGCCTACATTGTGTGTTTTTTCTTTTTTCTTTAGAGTGCTACTTTCAATTTATTTTACATCATAGCGAAGTAATGACATACGGCTAGTAATTATATATATATATATATATATATATATATATATATATATATATATATATATATATATATATATAGAACGTGTTAAAAATTCGGCGCCTTTTTTTGCTCTTTTCGCTCCCCCTACAACGAAAACCTGGATACGCCTCTGAGGGTACACCTAGTGATTATACATTACAATTGTGTGCGTGTTATTTTGGTACACATTATTACTTTCTCGTATATACGAAGTATAGAGAAAGTCTTATAATTGTGCAAAAAAAAAATCGAGATTTTTCCAAATCTCATAGTTTTACAGCTACTTGAGTCGGTAAAACAGTTTTGAAATCTTGTCCGTATGTCTGTGTGTGCGCGCGTGTGTGTGTGTGTGTGTAAACACGATAACTTGAGTATCGTTACAGCTAGGTTGATGAAATGTCATATATAAGTATATCAAAATCTTAGATCCGTATAAACTTTTGAGCGATTTCCGATAACCGGAAGTGGAACTTTTTCTACTTTGAGTTTTTCAAAAGCCTATAACTTGAGTACTATTTCAGATAATTACATAAAATTTCACATGTAAGTAAAATATCTAATTCTCTGCCTTCCGTCAAATTTTGACCGGAAGTAGTAATTTATGCTATTTCCGATTTCTCAAAAAAACGTTTGAATTTATAAAGTACTAATAATATTCCGCACTATTATGCATATTTTGTTTGGCGTTCAATTGGTGTGCAATTCTTTTTTCTACGAGATTTTATTATATTTTGAAAGTTTAAGCATTTAAAATGGATTAAAAATAATGTCTATAACCCGAGTTACCATCCCCTGTAGTTTTATATAAGAATATTCGAGAAAGTTTAGGGGAGATCACTCCCGGTTTATTTTTATACTAGAATCATGTCGGCTGGCGTGTAATTTTAGTACACCAGATATTGATATACTTTTAAGCCTACGTGTTTTTAGAGTACACCAAGCTTTTATACACTAGAATCGTGTACATCTTATTTTTAATATTAACAGTTTTCTATACACTAAAATTGCCTACGTGTTAGTTTTAGTACACAAGTAGAATTGTGTAGGTATAGAGGTATAACACTAAAATTGTCTAAGTGTTTAGTACACAAGATTTCTATCTATCTATATAAATAAGTCTCTTCTGGGAGTCGTTAGAAAACAAGCTGCAAGCGCGCGCCTTGCAGTCCCCTCTTTTCCTCTCTATCGCTACCACCCCCCACCCCCCACCCCCTCACATGGTCAGGTGAGTTGTAGTTCACGCTAAATGTTTAGTTTGGTGACGGCTATTAGGGGCAGATAATTCAGTTTGAAACTATTTTAAACTTAGAGGAGGTAACTAAGATGAGGCTGCTTTCACGGGGGGGGGGGAGGGGGTTTAGTGTTTTAAAGCAAATATTTTCAGTGGCAGCATTGGTACTGTCGAATTCACAAATTATGAATTACTGAAAAGTAGAAAAAATAACTAAATAGCGGCGTATGATACACCGCGGGTCGGCTCGTATATATAATTCTCTTCTGGGAGACGTTAGAAAACAAGCTGCAAGCGCGCCTTTGCAGTCCCCTCTCTTCCTCTCTATCACTATCACTACCACCCCCACCCCACCCCCACATGATCTGGTGAGCTGTGGTTCACTCTAAATGTTTACAAATCGTAGAGCCGGGTTCGTTGACGGCTATTAGGGGCAGATAATTTAGTTTGAAACGATTTTAAACTTACAGGATTCACGGGGGGGGGGGTGTAGGGTAGGGGTTGGGGGGTTAGTGTTTTAAAGCAAATATTTTCAGTGGTACTGGCAGCATTGGTACTATCGAATTCACAAATTATGAATTACTGAAAAGTAGAAAATAAAACAACTAAATAGCGGCGTATGATACGCAGCGGGTCGGCTCGTACAATATAATTGTGTAGGTGAAACGGCAACAATTGTTGCACTTAATCACGACGTGTATCAACGCGTTAAATGTTTCTTCTTACTTGCAGCATTCCAGATCGTTGCGGTGACGGTGCACGTGCATCCGTTGATGAACGTGCGGTTGAGCACCATAGCCCCTGCCCAGGGGGACCCGGGGGGCTTGGCCGAGTAGTTGTAGGGGATGCTGCCGTCCTGGAAGTCTATGAGGATGTGGACATCGGAGCCTTTGGTCATGTCGATGGTGAAGTAGACGTTGTCGTCGGTGGTGACGTTGTGGCTGCTGGCGCTGATGGACGGGTTCTCGATCTTGTCCATCACGATAAAGTAGCCGGAGATGTTTAGGGAGGTGATTTTGTTGCTGGCCTGTGGGGGGACACGTGAACATTAGTTACTGGCCTGGGGGGGGGGGGGGTGGGAGGGGACAAGTGAACATTAGTTACTGGCCTGGGGGGAGGAGGACACTAGTTACTGGCCTGGGGGGAGGCATTAACATTTGTTACTGATCGGGTGGGGGGGGGGGGAATCATAAACATTTGTTAGTGGTCTGTGAGGGACACTCTTACTTCAATATTTGTTACTGGCCTTTGGGGGGGGGGGGAGGCCGACATATATGTACTTTAATATTTTAGTGGTTAAATAAATGTCGTTACAGTTGTTTAAAACTAATCTATATATACTAGCTGCATCCCGTGCTCCGCCACGGTAAATCTTTTTTAATGTACCAACAGAACAAAACTAAACACAACACAAACGAACGCAAAAAAAAACAAAAAAAAAAAAAAAAAACAACGAAAAAACAAACACAACACTCGTAACATAAACACAATTTAAATGCAATCATAAAGGCATATTGCTCACAGTCTAGCCCGTAGCGCCAAATTGCGCCCTTTCCCATGATTTGCACCCCCCTCAAACTTTCGATTTGCACCCCTCCCCCCCCCCCGCCCTAAAACTTTCGATTTCCACCCCCCCCCCCTCGCAAATTTTTTCCAACCCACTGTGGCGCCCCTTAAGGTCGGCACCCGGGACATATGCCCCCCCCCCCCTCGCTAACTTACTTACTTACTTAATAATAATTAGAAAACAGTATAAATAATAGGCAGTATCTATAATATATACAATATTTCACTTTATCCATTCACGCATTTTTTTCCAGTACTTAAATTTTAAAAATTTACAATAGAGTTTCATTACTAAAACCATTGCGCACCTAATGAACGTGATGACGCGTCTATAATAGTGCTGAATAGTTGATTAAAAATTATAAGTAATAAACAGTAGGGCCTACATTCAGTGAATAAAATAAATAAAAGATTGCCTTTTATCAATCCATGCTAATTATAATTTTCTAACAATAATTTCCTCTTACACGTCCGAATAATTTGCATTCACATTTTGCTAATTATATTATTGCAACACTAATTCCTTCTATGACGAACGTATATTTGCATTCAAATTTTTTATTAGCGCGAGTTTAATGTATTTTTAAATTACCTCCTTTGTCAAAATTAGAAAAGAGTTAAATTAATTTGATTTTTCTACCGTACTGTTATTATGTTATTAAAATGTATCCACTTTTTCTAGGAATATAAACGAAAATGATATTTGACATTGATCCTTTTAATATGTTTTAGCAATGTGCGTGTATTTAATATTTTCTTTAAGTTATGCAAAAGAGTAAACACAGTGGCAATTATAAAATAGCTCTATGTCGTTATATAAACAAACCTTACTCTATTAATTATAATAAGACACTGCGGTGCACTGAAAAGCACAGTATGGTGCGTTGTTTACTTTTATGGTTCCAAAAGCTATAGCGATGACAGAAGGAAGGAAGGAAGGAAGGACTGACACACGCTCAGCCCGCTTATATTATAGATAAAGCAAAGTGGTCAAGTGCCCGATAGGGCACTTCCCGGCGCCGCAGGCGCGTGAAATTTGGCACGATGGTGCCTTCGGGCGATAGAACACGAAGGCCGGTGACGGTTGGCCGAAAAGTCTACGGAAAAGGGGTCAAAACTGACCTCGACTGACCGGCGCCTTATATGGGCTATATTACGAAAAAAAATTTCCTCCGACGACCCCCCTTGAAATTTTGTGTGGTGGTAGGAGAACGCCTTGGGGTGTCACAAAAAACTCGCCATGTCCGGGAAAAATCGGGAAATGGGTCAAAACTGACCAGTCGTATTTCCCTATATAATCTTTGTATTTTATGGGAAAAACAGAGGGTATTTTCAAAACGGATTTTAGGGCACTTACCGTCTTTACATCTAGCTAATTTTTGGCATGTTTATAGGTAAATGGCTTGGCCGTAGGGCAGACCTGTCAGTTTTACTCAAAGCCATCGACGAGGGCTAAAAAGTGACCGCGAGTGAAATTCTCTTTATATGAGCTCTATTACGAAAAAAATTTTCCTCCGACGACCCCCTTTGAAATTTTGTGAGGTGGTAGGAGAACGCCTTGCGGTGTCACAAAAAACTCGCCATGTCCGGGAAAAATCGGGAAATGGGTCAAAACTGACCAGTCGTATTTCCCTATATAATCTTTGTATTTTATGGGAAAAACATAGGGTCATTTCAAAACGGATTTTAGGGCACTTACCGTCTTTACATCTGGCTAATTTTTGGCATGTTTATAGGTAAATGGCTTGGCCGTAGAACAGATCTGTCAGTTTCACTCAAAGCCCTCGACGAGGGCTAAAAAGTGACCGCGAGTGAAATTCTCTTTATATGAGCTCTATTACAAAAAAAATTTTCCTCCGACGACCCCCCTTGAAATTTTGTGAGGTGGTAAAAGAACGCCTAGGGGTGTCACAAAAAACTCGGCATATCTGGGAAAACTTCGTAAAGGGGTCAAAACTGACCAGTTGTATTTCCCTATATAATCTTTGTATTTTATGGGAAAAACAGAGGGTCTTTTCAACGCAGACTTTATGGTACTTAAACTCAGTATATCTGGCTAATTTTTGGCATGCTTATAGGTAAATGGCTTGACCTTTAGATAAAATTGTCGGTTTTACTCAAAGACATCGACGAGGGCTAAAAAGTGACCGCGAGTGAAATTCTCTTTATATGAGCTCTATTACGAAAAAAAATTTCCTCCGACGACCCCCCTTGAAAATTTGTGAGGTGGTAGATGAACGCCTAGGGGTGTCACAAAAAACTCGGCATATCTGGGAAAACTTCGTAAAGGGGTCAAAACTGACCAGTTGTATTTCCCTATATAATCTTTGTATTTTATGGGAAAAACAGGGGGTCTTTTCAACGCAGACTTTAGGGAACTTAAACTCAGTATATCTGGCTAATTTTTTGCATACTCTTAGGTAAATGGCTTGACCTTTAGGTAAAACTGTCGGTTTCAATCAAAGCCCTCGACGAGGGCTAAAAAGTGACCGCGAGTGAAATTCTCTTTATATGAGCTCTATTACGAAAAAAAAATTCCTCCGACGACCCCCCTTGAAATTTTGTGAGGTGGTAGATGAACGCCTAGGGGTGTCACAAAAAACTCGGCATATCTGGGAAAACTTCGTTAAGGGGTCAAAACTGACCAGTTGTATTTCCCTATATAATCTTTGTATTTTATGGGAAAAACAGAGGGTCTTTTCAACGCAGACTTTAGGGAACTTAAACTCAGTATATCTGGCTAATTTTTTGCATACTCTTAGGTAAATGGCTTGACCTTTAGGGAAAACTGTCGGTTTCAATCAAAGCCCTCGACGAGGGCTAAAAAGTGACCGCGAATGAAATTCTCTTTATATGCGCTCTATTACGAAAAAAAATTTCCTCCGACGACCCCCCTTGAAATTTTGTGAGGTGGTAGAAGAACGCCTAGGGGTGTCACAAAAAACTCGGCATATCTGGGAAAACTTCGTAAAGGGGTCAAAACTGACCAGTTGTATTTCCCTATATAATATTTGTATTTTATGGGAAAAACAGAGGGTCTTTTCAACGCAGACTTTAGGGAACTTAAACTCAGTATATCTGGCTAATTTTTTGCATACTCTTAGGTAAATGGCTTGACCTTTAGGGAAAACTGTCGGTTTCAATCAAAGCCCTCGACGAGGGCTAAAAAGTGACCGCGAATGAAATTCTCTTTATATGCGCTCTATTACGAAAAAAAATTTCCTCCGACGACCCCCCTTGAAATTTTGTGAGGTGGTAGAAGAACGCCTAGGGGTGTCACAAAAAACTCGGCATATCTGGGAAAACTTCGTAAAGGGGTCAAAACTGACCAGTTGTATTTCCCTATATAATATTTGTATTTTATGGGAAAAACAGAGGGTCTTTTCAACGCAGACTTTAGGGAACTTAAACTCAGTATATCTGGCTAATTTTTTGCATACTTTTAGGTAAATGGCTTGACCTTTAGGAAAAACTGTCGGTTTCAATCAAAGCCCTCGACGAGGGCTAAAAAGTGACCGCGAGTGAAATTCTCTTTATGTGAGCTATATTACGAAAAAAAATTTCCTCCGACGACCCCCCTTGATATTTTGTGAGGTGGTAGGAGAACGCCTTGGGGTGTCACAAAAAACTCGGCATATCTGGGAAAACTTCGTAAAGGGGTCAAAACTGACCAGTCGTATTTCCCTATATAATCTTTGTATTTTATGGGAAAAACAGAGGGTCATTTCAACGCAGACGTTTGGGTACTTAAACTCAGTATATCTGGCTAATTTTTGGCATACATTTAGGTAAATGGCTTGACCTTTAGGGAAAACTGTCGGTTTTACTCAAAGCCCTCGACGAGGGCTAAAATCTGACCGCGAGTGAAATTCTCTTTATATGAGCTCTATTACGAAAAAAAAAAATCCTCCGACGACCCCCCCTTGATATTTTCTGAGGTGGTAGGAGAACGCCTTGGGGTGTCACAAAAAACTCGGAATATCTGGGAAAACTTTGTAAAGGGGTCAAAACTGACCAGTTGTATTTCACTATATAATCTTTGTATTTTATGGGAAAAACAGGGAATTTTCAACATAAGTTTTAGGTTACTTAACCTCTGTACATCATGCTAATGTTTTGCATACACTTCTATAGATGACTAGGCCGTATGGAAAAACTGTTGGTCAGACTCAAAGCCCTCGACCAGGGCTAAAAGATGACCGCGAGTGAAATTCTCCTTATATGAGATAATATATAAATAAATTGACGAACGATCATTAATATTATTTGAGGTCGTAGACCGACCCTGGAGGGTAACAAAAAAACGTTATTCCCGTCGGAAAAAGCCATTGTAGTCGTCAAATATGTTCATATATCATATTTTCTTATATAAGCATAGTAACTGTTTAAAAAAAAGTGTAAACAAAGTCATACGTCATTTGGTCCATTTTCAAGGGAGGTAACTTTTTAAAATA